ACTAGTCTGGTATCAACCATGACCCTCTATCGAATAGGGTGAGAATGCAAACAAGGGGTATAATAAAGGTGCCCAAGGTACTTAACTGAACAATGAATAATCGAATATTTGCTCAACCAACGCTTAGTCACTTAGACTCATATTGCCTCAAATGCTGTGCAACAAATTCCTAATTGCTCCGATTCATATTGCCTCAAATATTACGCAACCTACTTCCTGCCGTTAATCCTACTCTTAATCTAGCTTTACCTATCTGAGTCAACCATTGCTGGCTCTCGCTCTGCCAGAGCCCAGTGTTGTCAAGACATCCCCTGGTGTCGGCCACAACCAAGCCTGATAACAGTAATTACGTAATGCTCCACTATTCTACGGCCGCCAATCTTATACTTACCACTATAACCATCTGCCTAACTAAACGACCTAACCTTAACCGGTTCTAGCTCCTACTCTTAGTCTAGCTTTACCTATCTAAGTCAACCAGCGCTGACTCCCGCTCTGCCAGAGCCCAGTGTTGTCAAGACATCCCCTGGTGTCGGCCACAACCAAGCCTAATAACAGTAATTACGTAATGCTCCACTATTCTACGGCCGCCAATCTTATACTTACCACTATAACCATCTGCCTAACTAAACGACCTAACCTTAACCGGTTCTAGCTCCTACTCTTAGTCTAGCTTTACCTATCTAAGTCAACCAGCGCTGACTCCCGCTCTGCCAGAGCCCAGTGTTGTCAAGACATCCCCTGGTGTCGGCCACAACCAAGCCTGATAACAGTAATTACGTAATGCCCCACTATTCTACGGCCGCCAATCTTATACTTACCACTATAACCATCTACCTAACTAAACGACCTAACCTTAACAGGTTCTAGCTACAGAACCTGCCCGGTATCAAAATGACCCCCCTCTCGATCGGGTAAACTGGCACTCCGCTATCTCCAAAAACTAACACTATTTTCCTCCCGGGCTCTGATAGTCTAAACAATCTACCATTTCCCGGGAATTGCAAACTGTCCTGTCGATAGCCACAACATAGTATCACTAGTATTCTGTAAACAATCCATAATTCAACCTCGTACTGACTCAAACATATGTTAAACTGACCTCTCTGCACTTAAACTGCAATAACTGTCGTCTACTAATATATGCCCAAAATACTACGTCACATACTGGACCCCACGACCGCCTTATTATAATCATTACACTATCTACATATTACACAATATTACCCTAAATTCCTCTCAATTAATCACTGCTTACAGTATAGTATGGGAGATATAAGTAACTATGGTAACTAGTAGTGTAACTATAGTAACTAGTAGTTACTTGTAGTATAGTATAAATCAAGATAATGAACATATTGACATGGGTGCAGAGTTGAGTCTGTACGGAACCTAGTAGTTTCAGTTCCTTGTTTAACTGTATGGGAGATAAAATGTATCTGGAACCATCTGTGATCAAATTTAAAAAGATAAGTTCTCAATGTAGGTTGGTTAAATTAAAATATAGAGCCTAAAAAACCCCACAAAATTTGTTTCATCGCCAATCTATGGGCATAACTTTCTACAGCAAGTTGGCTATATGGAATTACGATAGGCGGTTTGGTGAAATTTTTGATCTCGGCTCCTGATGGGATCCAATGATTGACTTTCAAGTAGCAACGAACCACTTTATTGAAGGTAGTCCCCCTGCAATGCATGTTTCATGGCTGCTCTCCATATTTAACAGACTTAAATACTCCCTTGTCCATCAGTTCATTATCTGTGCTGATTTCAGGGTATATTGTTGCTATACTATATATATTTCAGGGTTTATCAATGTTACAACTACAAGTATTGAAACAATTTCTTGTTTCTGCTGATTGGGGGAGATGATCTAATAGCGACCACTATTTTTATTTTGTATCAGTAGTCAGCTCAGTAAGCTTGAGTAGTCAGCTCAGTCAGCTTTCCCTACTTGCTCAGCCATCAGTTTGTGTTATTGAGCCCCCTCTAGGTGGACATTGTCCACGCATACCCATATTACTGGTATTATCTCACTAATCTAGTAATCTCTGTTTATATTTAGTCGCTAAAATTCAAATGCCTAGAAAGGTCATTGATTATAATTACTGTTATGATCATTTCCTTGAATTTGTAAGATTTAATTTAACAGGTCATCAAATTGTCAGATTAAAAGTGACAGTAATTCGGTAATCTGTCGATACGCACGGTTAAACATCACATTTACGCTCCATTTCATTAAATTCAGTTTTAATTACCACAGCTAAAAAAGACAACAAAAATTATAATTTATATACACAGTATAATCTGCTAGTAATTGGGAATGGTTTAGGTTTGTACACTGTACCGACTGTCGCTAGTATCATTCCACTGCAATCTGCAGATAGTATACCTTATCGGACCTTATTTGGACGGACATTAAATGAACGGACATTATTATGAACGGACATTAATATGAACGCTAGAAGGCATTCAAAACCATCAAAAATCCGAATTTTTTTCATTTCTTTGACGTTTTTTTATACCAGCTAATGATCTTTAAATCCATTTTTAATACAATAGCATATAATATAAGCATTTCAATACTCAACACTCAATATATTACATTGCAGCAGCCGACCGCAATACAGAACAGTTTTAAGTTCAACGTACAATTTTTATTTTTGTATTTTATTTTTACGAAAACCTACTATTTATTGTTACTAAAACAATAGCATATAATATAAGCATCTCAATACTCAATACTCAATATATTACATTGCAGCAGCCGACCGCAATACAGAACAGTTTTAAGTTCAACGTACAATTTTTATTTTTAAATTTTTTGTTACGAAAACCTACTATTTATTGTTACTAAAACAATAGCATATAATATAAGCATCTTAATACTCAACACTCAATATATTACATTACAGCAGCCGACCGCAGTATAGAACCTTTTTAAGTTCAAAAATGTATTATCAAATTTACTTACTTAGTTTTATCATTTGTTGCTACTATATACTAGCGGGTTCAAACTCAAAGGACAATAGACGGCGCGGAACTTATTGACATTTTGATCTTAGAAAAATATTTTAATACTCTTCTATTATGTTGTCATTTCAATAAAGTTGTACTATTAAGGGGTCGTTCACATATTACGTAATCAATATTTTGGCAATTTTTACCCCCCCCCCCCCCTCCGTAATCAACCGTAATCAAGACCGACCCCCCTATATTACGTAATCAAGGTTTGATTTTTAAATCCATTTTTTATACAGTAAGTAAGAATAGCAGTCGTTAAGCAGTAAAAATCTTAAAATATGTGTACATGATCAGTGTCTAATATCACACATCATCTTCATCAAATGGGTTTTCGTGCATGAAATAGTCCATGCTTAAAGCATCAGTGATTTCTAGCTTTATGGAAACCTTTTTTTTATCAAACTACCCCGGTCCTGCATTTCAGTGTTAACTTTTACAAGCCATTCGGCGTGAAGTGGTTTTATCTTAGACAACTTAAGGTTAACCTTAATCACTTGGAGTTTTCCTAGCACTGTTTCATTACATCCCCTGAGTAATATGAACTATAACAACGTCGGACAATGTCCTTGGCAACACGATTTACCGTAATATCTAGAGGCTGGAAAAAGTTTGTCATGTTGGCGGGGACTAACTCATGAACTATGTTGTTGAGTGCCATAATTCCGTTGACTTTTTCCGCCAAGTGACCCTTGAAAACCTCATATACTAGTAGAGTTTTCTGGCAGACCAAGGAGAACCTTTCCTTCGTTAACTTAAGGCATAATAAAGTTCTCATAGTTGTCATATTTTGGACAAAAAGTTCAAAGTGGAAAAATGTTTGAAAAAAATTCAACGGACTTTAACTTGGACGGACCTTAAATGAACGGACTTTATTTGAACGGACATTAAGATGAACGTAAGGGCCTCCAGCGTTCAATTAATGTCCGTCCAAATAAGGTCCGATAAGGTAGACTAAAGTGGGTTTATGTGAAAGTTTGACGACTTGTGTTACAAAAACTACAAAACATGACAACAGAACCCTAAGGCTAAACAAGGGTCCCTACAGGGTCTACGAGAGTCAGATCAAGTGAGAAGATTTTTGTTTTAGTTATTTCCTTATAGTTATAGTTGCCGCACGCTCCATTGTGAGAAAGAAGTTCATATTAATAATTAAATAGCACGTGAGGCTCTGTCATACAGCATACTTGAGGTATAATCCTGTACCTGGCAACAATCCTGCTCAAATAAAAACATATTCGAACTTTTTCAGCTTAATTTGACTTATTAGACCATAAATAACAAAATTACAACTTCTCCCCAGTTTAGCATCTCTCGATATCCCGTACTCAGAAAGTGCCCGGAGGGGGTGATTTAAAACATATAAGTGCCGTCTAGCTAGTATAGAACAAAGGCTCCATCTCGTAGTCGATCACGTGACGCGTTACGTTACCATGGTGACGCGTTACGTGCCGGCTAGCCGGGAGTTTAATTGACACGATTTCACGTTTTTCAATTTATGTTAGTATAATATTCGTCCTTTAGTACAAATTCAAAGACAGTCATTTTACAAATCAATAAAATTCAACGCAAGAATCTAACCTACTTCAAGTTCAATTCATTTTAGTCTTACACGTCTCTAATAGTCTAAATAATTCTTAGAATCAGATAAAAGGTTGTGCATTTTACCTGTCCGTTCATTATGGAACTGATTATATTTATTGATATTATATAAATCGTATTCTTAACTCTGCCACATTCAGCGACTGCCACGGCAATTTGCCGTTGAAGAATAATTAAGTTCTATAAAAAATCTCACATCTTTTCAGAGTTTCAAATTATCAAGGTCAAACAAACTGATCAATATTCAATTCGACGAATTTCAAAGCTGTTAACAACACCGACTCAAGTGTTTAACCTCATGTTTACTGAAGGAGTTAAAATTACTTCTCCTTTCCACTTTTGTCAACTAAGAATTCCAACTCTATTACTTTTTCTCTTCACAGTCCAAAGAGAATGCTCCTAAACTCTGAGAAACTGATAGTCCCATCTCTATTAAGATCCGCCTCCTCCAACAAATACAATATCTCATCATGAGGAATCCCCACGTCCGCCTTCGCCATGGCAACGGCCACCTCCTCGTGCGACACCTCCCCACTCCCATCCTCATCTATCAGATTAAACGCGCTCTCTATGTCCTCACTAGTGTACTTCTCAGCCAGTATCTCCTCTATATACGTCATCAACTCATCATAGTCCACTGTGCCGTCCTTGTCCTTGTCTACTCGCTCGAAGAACGCTTTAATGTCGTCCTGCAGCGCCACCACGTTGAAGTTAGCGAACAGTTTCTGTAGCTCCTCCAGATCCAACATGCCGTTATCATCAGTGTCGTATCTAGTGAAGAAGTCCTTTATTTCCTGTTCCTCCTCGTTTGTCAGCTTCACCTTGATTCCCAGGTACTCCATAGCTGACACCGGCCCCTTGTAGGTAGCGGTCATACCCGTCATAGTGTCCTGAGGCAGATAGAGCTAGCACTCCAGCAATGTAAAACTTTGAGGACAGAGCTAGCACTTCAGCAATGTAAAACTCTGAGGACAGAGCTAGCACTTCAGCAATGTAAAACTCTGAGGACAGAGCTAGCACTTCAGCAATGTAAAACTCTGAGGACAGAGCTAGCACTTCAGCAATGTAAAACTCTGAGGACAGAGCTAGTACTTCAGCAATGTAAAACTCTGAGGACAGAGCTAGCACTTCAGCAATGTAAAACTTTGATGCAGACAGAGCTAGCACTTCAGCAATGTAAAACTCTGATGCAGACAGAGCTAGCACTTCAGCAATGTAAAACTCTGAGGACAGAGCTAGCACTTCAGTAATGTAAAACTCTTAGGACAGAGCTAGCACTTCAGTAATGTAAAACTTTGAGGACAGAGAGAGCTAGCACTTCAGCAATGTAAAACTCTGACTAAACTTGGTCGACTAAACGTCGGAATGCTGATAAATTATAAACTTATCAGATATAAGTTGTCCGGTATGGACGATTTGTCGGATGTGATGACCGCAAATATACAGACTCAGAGCAGATCCCTGTAGTAAGCACAGTAAGAATACTGCGAACTATGTACGCAGAAAGTAATAAGTTATACGAGCAGGATGCGTCCTGATATTAGCAAAGAGCTGTTGGTCACAAGGCACTGACGTGTATCTTAACGTGTACACGAGCACTTTAATGGAAGCTAACTAGCTAATGCGGAGATAACCGCTGCAGATATATAATGGCTCATTATCTCCAGCAGTTATATCTCCAACTACTACAACAGCTACTAGTTACCATAGTAACACTACTAGTTACCATAGTTAGGTACACTACTAGTTACTATAGTAACACTACTAGTTACCATAGTTACATATCTCCAGCAGCAACTACTAGTTACTATAGTAACACTACTAGTTACCATAGTTACATATCTCCAGCTACTACAACAACTACTAGTTACTATAGTAACACTACTAGTTACCATAGTTACATATCTCCAGCTACTACAACAACTACTAGTTACTATAGTAACACTACTAGTTACCATAGTTACACTACTAGTTACTATAGTTACACTACTAGTTACCATAGTTACATATCTCCAGCTACTACAACAACTACTAGTTACTATAGTAACACTACTAGTTACCATAGTTACATATCTCCAACTACTACAACAACTACTAGTCACTATAGTAACACTACTAGTTACCATAGTTACATATCTCCAGCTACTACAGCAACTACTAGTTACTATAGTAACACTACTAGTTACCATAGTTACATATCTCCAGCTACTACTACTAGTTACTATAGTAACACTACTAGTTACTATAGTTACATATCTCCAGCTACTACAACAACTACTAGTTACTATAGTAACACTACTAGTTACCATAGTAACACTACTAGTTACTATAGTAACACTACTTGTTACTATAGTTACATATCTCCAGCTACTACAACAACTACTAGTTACTATAGTAACACTACTAGTTACCATAGTTACATATCTCCAACTACTACAACAACTACTAGTTACTATAGTAACACTACTAGTTACCATAGTTACATATCTCCAGCTACTACAACAACTACTAGTTACTATAGTAACACTACTAGTTACCATAGTTACATATCTTCAGCTGCTACAGCAACTACTAGTTACTATAGTAACACTACTAGTTACCATAGTTACATATCTCCAGCTACTACTACAACTACTAGTTACTATAGTAACACTACTAGTTACCATAGTTACATATCTCCAGCTACTACAGCAACTACTAGTTACTATAGTAACACTACTAGTTACCATAGTTACATATCTCCAGCTATACTACTACAACTACTAGTTACTATAGTAACACTACTAGTTACCATAGTTACATATCTCCAGCTACTACAACAACTACTAGTTACTATAGTAACACTACTAGTTACCATAGTTACATATCTCCAGCTACTACAACAACTACTAGTTACTATAGTAACACTACTAGTTACCATAGTTACATATCTCCAGCTACTACAACAACTACTAGTTACTATAGTAACACTACTAGTTACCATAGTTACATATCTCCAACTACTACAACAACTACTAGTCACTATAGTAACACTACTAGTTACCATAGTTACATATCTCCAGCTACTACAGCAACTACTAGTTACTATAGTAACACTACTAGTTACCATAGTTACATATCTCCAGCTACTACTACTAGTTACTATAGTAACACTACTAGTTACTATAGTTACATATCTCCAGCTACTACAACAACTACTAGTTACTATAGTAACACTACTAGTTACCATAGTAACACTACTAGTTACTATAGTAACACTACTTGTTACTATAGTTACATATCTCCAGCTACTACAACAACTACTAGTTACTATAGTAACACTACTAGTTACCATAGTTACATATCTCCAACTACTACAACAACTACTAGTTACTATAGTAACACTACTAGTTACCATAGTTACATATCTCCAGCTACTACAACAACTACTAGTTACTATAGTAACACTACTAGTTACCATAGTTACATATCTCCAGCTGCTACAGCAACTACTAGTTACTATAGTAACACTACTAGTTACCATAGTTACATATCTCCAGCTATACTACTACAACTACTAGTTACTATAGTAACACTACTAGTTACCATAGTTACATATCTCCAGCTGCTACAGCAACTACTAGTTACTATAGTAACACTACTAGTTACCATAGTTACATATCTCCAGCTATACTACTACAACTACTAGTTACTATAGTAACACTACTAGTTACCATAGTTACATATCTCCAGCTACTACAACAACTACTAGTTACTATAGTAACACTACTAGTTACCATAATTACATATCTCCAGCTACTACTACTACAACTACTAGTTACTATAGTTACACTACTAGTTACCATAGTTACATATCTCCAGCTACTACAACAACTACTAGTTACTATAGTAACACTACTAGTTACCATAGTTACATATCTCCAACTACTACAACAACTACTAGTTACTATAGTAACACTACTAGTTACTATAGTTACATATCTCCAGCTATACTACTACAACTACTAGTTACTATAGTAACACTACTAGTTACCATAGTTTCATATCTCCAGCTACTACAACAACTACTAGTTACCATAGTAACACTACTAGTTACTATAGTTACATATCTCCAGCTATACTACTACAACTACTAGTTACTATAGTAACACTACTAGTTACCATAGTTACATATCTCCAGCTACTACAACAACTACTAGTTACTATAGTAACACTACTAGTTACCATAGTTACATATCTCCAGCTACTACTACTACAACTACTAGTTACTATAGTTACACTACTAGTTACCATAGTTACATATCTCCAGCTACTACAACAACTACTAGTTACTATAGTAACACTACTAGTTACCATAGTTACATATCTCCAGCTACTACTACTACAACTACTAGTTACTATAGTAACACTACTAGTTACCATAGTTACATATCTCCAGCTACTACAACAACTACTAGTTACTATAGTAACACTACTAGTTACCATAGTTACATATCTCCAGCTACTACTACTACAACTACTAGTTACTATAGTTACACTACTAGTTACCATAGTTACATATCTCCAACTACTACAACAACTACTAGTTACCATCGTAACACTACTAGTTACCATAGTTACATATCTCCAGCTACTACAACCACTACTATCTCCCTCTGATACGATAAGAGCGGGGATTATGAACTAAATGAGCAGCTTATCTGAAGTAACGGGAGTATTATTATATTAGTCGGAGTCTGGAAACTATACTGTTTTTATAATTTACCTGCTACAAACTGTTTTGAATTAGGATAAAACGGTAATTACCGAAGGCTTGGCTGTAGCTTAGCGGTATTTCAGGCATGAAATATCGGTATGTTTGCTAATTGTTCAAAGTTTGGGGAATGGCAGAATGTTTACGGCTACAAGAAAATTGAAAGGAATATTTAAGGTAAGCGACATGAAGTTTAAGCTTCATAACTATTAACCATGGATAATTGATAAGCATGAGCCAAAACACAGTCATTTGGGTGATCTTTAGTCAAAATGCAGATGACAGGAAACCAGCAAGCTTCCGGTAATTCTCAAAGTAGTTGAATAGCGCGACCCCCTGGATGACTTGCAGTTAATTAAGCTCTTTATAAACGTAATATTATGTTATTATGAAGGAGTGCATAGACAACTGTTCCGGTCCAACCATAAGTGACTAGTCATCATCTGCATCATCTGCATCACTAATGGACCCTTTGGCGCCACCCTGCTTGACTTCCATCCTTGCTGTAACCTTGCCTTTAAAACTGATAAAATAATGGTCACCAATGTAAAACTAAAGGTGCCATCACTCGTGGAAGCTCAGTAGAAATGTGGCCATGAGGCACAGCGGCATGAATGGCTGTACTGAAGTGGAACTATTGTGATCGGATATAGCGCGACCTGCAGAACAGAGAGAGAGAGATATAGCGCGACCAGAACAGAGAGAGAGAAAGAGATATAGCGCGACCAGAACAGAGAGAGAGATATAGCGCGACCAGAACAGAGAGAGAGAGAGAGAGAGCGATATATAGCGCGACCAGAACAGAGAGAGAGAGAAAGAGATATAGCGCGACCAGAGACGATTCATTTACTTGGAAACCACATATGAAATCGCCTGAATTTTAATTGATGATCCGGTAGCGGTTTAGAAGGCCTCATCGGTATGTATTACTATTACTGATTGCCGACAGATACATTCTGGGATTACGATTTTAAAATTAAACAATCATAAAGTCCGTGTTATATTTTGGAACTGATATCAATGTGCATAAAATAAATAAACAAAGCTTGTTCACTTACTACTTAAACCAGTTATTATAATTATATATTGATAAATTACAACTAAAAATTCCCGACAAACTACAAGTTACTCAAGGCTATTGAACGTTTATTGGGATAAGAGAACGGCTAAAGCTAAGTACAGTACCTAGGCGGAGGTACACGGCGGTACAGTCAGTACCGCCGTGTGCCTCCCCCAAAATTCTCTTACTTACTCTTACTACTACTCTAGACCCGACCTCCACCTAGTTTTACTCCTCCCACTATTTTTACAACACTGCGTAATCTTCTGGAGACGCCGGTACGTGCGTTTAAACTGAATATCCGCTTTAGATTCTAGTTACCATAGTTACACTACTAGTTACCATAGCTCGGCTCCCTTAAAGTCTGGCTGCTTGAGAATGGATATTTTGTCATAACTATTTCATCTGGGAATCAGATAGTCTAGTTTTTAAGTAGGAGTTTGATCTATGTTAGAAATATTTGTGCGCAGATAGCTTCAACATCAGCAGTCAGCTCATCCCCGCTTGCTTACTACTCGTGACCTCAGAACCTGGTAAAATGTGCCACAGTTCAGGAAGAGTCAATGTTTCTGCACTTAGTTGGTGGGTCACCCGGTATCAAGTGACAAACCCGACAACCAAGATCCATTTATATTTACATGTACATTACCATGCAAATATGCAGGATTATCCGCAATTAATCGGCTCTGGATTTACGCTGTGCATGACATAGAGCTCATAAATCCCAGCTTTCCCTAAAGGATAGAGAACTCTAACTGCAGGACCAACCAGCGTTGCTCAGCAACCCACGTGACCCTGCCACCCTCCTATTGGAGTCCCAGGTAGATCACGCGTTACCAGGGCAACCCCCTCATTGGTCTCAATTAGGGTCACGTGGCAACATGTTCCTGCCAATTTCGAGGTTTTCGTAACGCGCGTACTCCGAGAACAGATTCGCTATCTACAGGCTGTTTGGGAGGTGTGCACCGATTCAAGGACTTTTTGTTGGGTAAGTTTTGCTTTATGTTATAGTTATAGTTTATGTTATAGTTTGTTATAGTTTGTTGCTCGGCCTTGCCGAGAGAAAAGATTTGTATACCTGTTAGAGCATCGATATTTTCTAGAGGTACGTATCATGGTTATGTATGCGGTCATGAGCCGTAAGCCCACCCTAAGGCTTCCAAGTGAATTGCGTAATGTAATAATTATGAATTCTGGTTCTTTTTGATAACTTCGCGGACCGTCGATACAAATACATTCCGTAACTGTACTACCATTATAGCTAGTACAAACAATAGTAACGGTCTTTAAAGTTCATCATTACGTTTGTTGAGCAATTACTTTGAGTTTGTGAATTAGTAACTACTCCAGGTAGGTCAGGCCATGTAAACAGTTACCATACTACTAGTTACCATAGTTACACTACTAGTTACCATAGTTACACTAATAGTTACCATGTTTACAGTTTACTCTCACAATGTATTCAAACTTCTATTTACAGAACCTACGTTACATAAGTATAGACATTAGACATTGTAAAGCTGTTATATGGGCATTGGGCAGCTGTATTGCGCATAGTTTAACTTTAGCACATCGTGTTTTCTGTTCACTCACTTTTAACAACATCTGGTACTGGAGTCAAGAAATTTGATCCCTTAGTGTTTTAGTTTTGTAGTTACCATAGTTACACTACTAGTTACCTTAGTGTTTTAGTTTTGTAGGCTAAAGATGGCAAATAATACTATTAGAGGTTAGGAAACTTGTATCAAATGTTTTAATTGTTGCTCGTTAATCTTTCCTCTGATTACTCTCTTGTTAGTTCATTGCCCGTTGGTCGTCAAAAGCAGTTAAAAATGTCATACAGCTATCCCTTTTCGGATACTTTATGTCGATTGATAGACAAGCTTCTACTTTTGTTACTTAATTTGGCTTTTGACCCTGACTCTGCTAGGGCCTGTAACACTACTAGTTACCATAGTTACACTACTAGTTCTGCAGCCCTAGCTCTGGCATGTTCTTATCTGCAAAAGTGCAACGGTAATGTCAAAAGAACCTTTCGACCACTTTTCGACACTGAATTGAGCAAGATATGGCCAGGTAGGATTGCTTGCGGAGATGGCCAGGTACCTACCTTGTAGGATAACTCTTCACAAACTGCCTTATATATTTATCGTTGGATAGATAGTTTCTGCTCCTATTCTGAAAATGCCAGGACCGTCTCTATTCTTTATGTTATGTGTATAAGGTGCCCCAAAATAGGGTGCAGGTAACCAGGTTACACTACTAGTTACCATAGTTACACTAATAGTTACCATAGTTACACTACTAGTTACCATAGTTACACTACTAGTTACCATAGTTACACTACTAGTTACCATAGTTACCAGGACCGTCTCTATTCTCCTGGTTATGTGTATAAGGTGCCCCAAAAAAGGGTGCAGGTGATCAAGTGAGTTTTGTTTAAAACTGTTATATGATGCAGTTTTGCTCCAGAATATGCTTTAAATTCGATCAGAAACCCGTTTATCCTTTTGAAGCTGCTGCTGACCCCATATATCCCTATTTTACTTTAGGCGGGGGGAGGGGGGATCAGGTACTAAGTGCCGTACATGACGTCGACTAAGTGCACTTTTGGAATTTACAAAAAGCATCCACCCACCCCCTTCACGGTACTAACTGCTTTTTCGGATAATATTTAGGACACCCACCCCCTTTTGCCGGCTTTTGCGGTACTAACTGTTGAGAAATCACGGTACTAACTGTGTCTTGGTATATAAAATAAGATACCCACCCAGAAATTGCTTTAAACAGCTCATTAAACATTGGAAAATGGGCAAATTATACCCACTATTTAGTAGGGGTTTTGTTTTCAATGTAGTCGAATTAGATTAAAAGTTACAAAAATATTTAAAAATATTTTAAAAACCCAAAAAAACCTCAAAACCCATTCCGAAGATTGAAATTTGATGTAAAATGGGTTTTTTGGGGTTGAACATCCCCTATTTTCTTCCTAACTGCGTTTTGGAAGAAAATATGACCCACCCACCCAACGTCACGTACGATTCTGACCTAATGATCCCCCCCCCCCCCCCCCTTTTAGGTAGAGTCAACTTCTATATTTCAAGGCTGTAACTCATTAAGGAACAGCTAAACCATGATGTGATCCACCCTGTCAACCCCTGCATGTTAATTGACATCCCTTTACTTCCGATCCCTTTACCTCTGATCTCTCTACTTCCGATCCTTCTACTTCTGCTCCCTCTATCTTTGCTCTTTCTACTTCTGATCGACCAATTTCTTATCTCTCTACTTCTAATCCGTCTACTTCTGATCTTTCTACTTCTGATATCTTTACGTCGAATCCCTCTACTTCCAATCCTTCTACTTCCGATCCTTCTACTTCCGATCCTTCTACTTCTGCTCCTTCTATCTTTGCTCTTTCTACTTCTGATCGACCAATTTCTGATCCTTCTACTTTTGATCCCTTTACCTCTGATATCTTTACTTCCGATCCTTCTACCTTATCGGACCTTATTTGGACGGACATTAAATGAACGTACATAATTATGAACGGACATTAATATGAACGCTAGAAGGCATTCAAAACCATCAAAAATCCGATTTTTTTTCATTTCTTTTGACGTTTTTTTTTTATACCAGCAAATGATCTTTAAATCCATTTTTTATACAATAGCATATAATATAAGCATTTCAATACTCAACACTCAATATATTACATTGCAGTAGCCGACCGCAATACAGAACAGTTTTAAGTTCAACGTACAATTTTTATTTTTACAATTTATTGTTACGAAAACTTACTATTTATTGTTACTAAAACCAACTATTTATTGTTACTAAAACCTTTTACAACGGTAACTTAATCTCAATACTCAACACTCAATATATTACATTAAAGCAGCCGACCGCAGTATAGAACCTTTTTAAGTTCAAAATGTATTATCAAATTTACTTACTTAGTTTTATCATTTGTTGCTACTATAATATACTAGCGGGTTCAAAGGACAATAAACGGCGTGGAACTTATTGACATTTTGATCTTAGAAAAATATTTTATTACTCTTCAATAAAGTTGTACTATTAAGTATGAACAAGTTTTTCTTTTCTGCAAATACCAGTGTACTAAATTGTGTGAGTCCTATATAATAATGTTTCTTCCCGGTACTCCTAGCGAAAATTACCCGCGTGAACCGAACGTCCGAGCGTACCCACTTTTGAAAGGTAATTAAAATAGAGTATTCACATACCTTATCAATACTAGCAGGAACCCGTATAACCCTAAAATGGTGTCAAGACTCAAGAGACTAAAATAATTATTACCTATTTAATTCGCGTTTTTGACACCACTTGGGGGTCCAAATTTTGGGCTCTAAAATTCCTATTCATTGGCCAATTTTTCATTTTTCATGCTGATTTGGAGGCCGTTAAAGCATTTGACCCAGTCAAAAAAGTTTCAGTTGTATATCTTTTACGGTTTTTGCGGAAAGTCGCGTTAAAGTTGATGCCGTGGTGTCAGTAAAATGGTACGGATCTTACTATATATAGTAAGATAACAACGTCGGACAATGTCCTTGGCAACACGATTTACCGTAATATCTAGAGGCTGGAACAAGTTTGTCATGTTGGCGGGGACTAGCTCATGAACTATGTTGTTGAGTGCCATAATTTCGTTGACTTTTTCCGCCAAGTGACCCTTGAAAACATCATATACTAATAGAGTTTTCTGTGCCTCTGGCAGACCAAGGAGAACCTTTCATTCGTTAACTTACGGCACAATAAAGTTCTCATAGTTGTCATATTCTGGACAAAAAGTTCGAAGTGGAAAAATGTTTGAAAAAAATTCAACGGACTTTAACTTGGACGGACCTTAAATGAACGGACTTTATTTGAACGGACATTAAGATGAACGTTAGGGCCTCCAGCGTTTAATTAATGTCCGTCCAAATAAGGTCCGATAAGGTAATCTCTCTACTTCTAATTCCTCTACTTCCGATCCCTCTACTTCCCTCTATTTTTAATCCTTTTCCCACAATTTTCCTTCATCTGATTTGCCAGTTCTCATTTTCCCCCAACATTTCTTGCCAAATCAGGTTGATAAAAGTCAGGTGGTAGCATTTATATTTGAATATCTAATAGCGAATCAATAAAATGTCGTATCAATTAACACTTTATAAGAAATGATTGCACAGAGCACTTGTTCCCCTTCTCTAAGCGACTATACCGTGTGATTTTACTGAACCAGACTTTATCCTAATCTCTTGGTAGTGTAACTATGGTAACTAGTAGTGTAGCTATGGTAACTAGTATAAATATAGCCTCTTATCTGCTGTCCCCGGTGATAAAGTAAATCCTAGTTTAAACCACAAACAACACTATTGTTTTTAGTGATAGCAAATACCTTTAATATCACATAATGCCAGCCTAATCGGCCCAATGACCTACAAAGCTTGAATAATATGCAAGGAATTATTATACGTTGCCATTACGTGACACAACTCTCTTAGCTGGCTTCGTATTGCCGGCAACCGTTCACATGACACTATAATATTATTACTGCTGTCTAGTTGCGATAGCGTGTGTTCTTACTCACATGTTAGTCAAGTATTACTACTACTCTTCATTTATTTTACAATTGAAAGATTGATTACTTTTTTAAATATCACAAACTAAGATTTTTGACGATTTTTGATTCTGCACACATATATGAGTATGATTTTTTTAAAAGCAATTTTTGTTGCAAACTCCATTTGTAACCTGCACCATAAGTAATTCATTCGTTTGATCTTTTGTTCATGTACACGGGAGCCTAGCCTCGGGGCTACCACGTGGGCTACCACATGACTACCACGTGACACCACGTGGGCTACAATGTTAACCACGTGTGAGCTAACTCCCAGCCTACATCATGCTGTGATTTTACAAATTACCCGCCAAAGTCATTCCAACTTTACAAGGGACCGACCCATTAATCGTATAATGAAGCAGTCCCTGATAAAGTAGCTGACATAAATTGTAAATTGTTCAGACTATAATAATGTCATTTGTTAGATTGCTTGCTAAAATGGTCCTTTGACAAAGTTCCTCAAGCGAAGTAGTCAGACAATGAATGATTGGAACTGATCACGTGACTAGTGAAGCCCACTCATTCTGCCGAGAAAATGATTGACAATTATACCCTCTAATGGGAGAGAGGCTGCACGGTAGTTCTCGTGGGTTTGATAGTGAGGGAGATGCTTTATAAGGATCAGTTATTTGGGCTCCGCCTCAACAGAATTACTAGTTGGGTGACAAATGTTGGGATGAATATTAAAATTAAAACTACAAGAAAGTTCAACTTTGATAGTTCAATCATTTATCATGACCACTCAGACCAGACTAAAAATATTTTATTGCGAACCTAATATTCTTCGCTGACGTTTTGTTTTTTAACGATACTGAAAACTAAAGTAAAAATCTTAAAGTTATAAATAAAACTATTTTTGTAGAATAACTAAAACTAAAGATATGTAACCCGGTATAGCGTCTTTAACATTGTCAGTGTAGTTGAGACCTGCGAGTTTGCCGTGAGTCACACATTTTTATCTGCTTCTTATTTGAACCGAATTTTTACAACAAATATCTTGTGATGATTTTTAAAAACCATTCTCAACTTTAAAATGGTAATTACAATTGAACACCCCATAGTTAATAGTTATACTTATCCTGTTATCAGCCTTCATTTTTTGGCCTTGACGTTTCCGCTTGGTCTTGACTCTTGAGATTAATGAATTACAGTTATTAAGGCTCAAAAGAACTTAAGGCCGGTAAATTTAACCTTTCCTAAATGGAAGCTAATTTCTGCCGCAAAATTTTGCAGAATCATCAAACTTTCAGCCAAAATAACTCGAGTTTATAAAAACGTGTTGGATTTTGAATTTATTACGTTGTCACCATGAATTGAAGTTCTTACTCTATTTGATCCAGTGTGCTGAGCGCGAAAATTCAATATTTGGCTAAATTACATGGAATGAGGAAGGATTTAGCCTTTAGGTCACATAAGCAATAAGAGAACAGTAAAACTTTACATCCCAAAACTCAAAGTTAAAGGCCGATTTGTTCAATTCAAATTAGCTTCATCTCTGATATCTTATTTTGAAAGATACTCGTACTCGTGATGGTGTAATTTGGCGTCAGCACCTTGCAGCTTACCACCAAATTCAAACCCATGAGCAAATGAATCCACCATCGTCCAAATCTCTCAAAATAACATATCAGAGATAAAGCTAATTTCAAATGAACTTTAAATTTGAAGTTAATATTGGAAGGCATAGAAAACTTTGATAAAACTCTATTTTTGTTTTTTTTAACTTGATTATTTGATTAAATACCTTGGCTGCTGAAAATTTGTCTGACAAGCATTTCATATCAAACGTTTTGCTTCTTCAGACAATCCAGTATATTCTATATATGCTGCATATTTTCAGATAAACTGGTATATATTCTGGGTCGACACTAGGCCTGGCCATGAACAACTCCATTATTGTGTTGGGATGGAACATAACGGTAACCATGGTAACGGAGACTTTCCTGCTTTCCAAGCAATCAACGGCGCTTTGAGTTTAAACGTGAGTTATAAAACATTTCCTTGTGTTTGAGTAATGTTATAAAATATTGCCTTGTGTTTTAGCAATGTTATAAAGCATTTTCTTGTGTTTTAGTTTTGTAATAAAACATTTCCATGCGTTTAAATAATGTTATAAAACATTTCCTTGTGCTTGAGTAATGTTATAAAACACTTCCTCGTGTTTGACTATTGTGATCAATATCCATCATGTGAAAACGGCCGAGTGAAGGCTCGTGTTTATTTGACTGTCACTTTTATAACTCCCTAGAACCCAGAGGAGGCCACAAACCGAGAGGCTCGTGTTTATTTGTAGTTTCAGACTGTCACTTTTCTAACTCCCTAGAACCCAGAGGAGGCCACAAACCGAGAGGAGGACGAGCTGCTGTGTCAGTTTATAGCTCTCCGACTGATACACATAGCAGCACAGATAGATAGGAACCTAGAGAGAAGAGCGAGAAGGGAGCGGGCAGATACCAGGGGTAATGTGCTGGGGAGCCTGGTCTCGGCACTGGGGTGGGTTCTGGAGGTGATCTTCAGATACTAGTGGTCTCTACTGCTGGAGGTAGTCTTCAGATACTAGTGGTCTCTACTGCTGGAGGTAACATTTCACTAATCCTTGTTTTCATGTGTGTCAGGTGTGTGCGGGTTGTAACTCAGAATCAGATGAACTTTGGTTGCTAACATTTGTTTAGATAACCCAAGGGGCTGAAAAACGTTAACAAACTTAGTAACTTTCACAATGATTCCTAAAAAGAAGACATTATTTGAACTTTCGTTTGATTTTTATAATAACATAATTCTAATGACAAACAAACTCCATTTCTTTGTTACTATGGTTACAAACTCCATTTCTCTTCATTCACGACAACATTTTAATTCAATCAATCAATCATAAGATCTTAGCGGTTAATATACTTAAAGTATTAAAAATGCACTTCGCAGAATTATTATTTTACCGTAAACTGGACATATTCTCATGATCGTTTATTTGATGTACTATTTACAAATTACATATACCACGATTGGCTACATTATTTTTGGTCAGCCTTTTTTCTTTTAATAATCACGACCGTGACTCGGTAACTAATTTTTGGTTATTACAATTTACAATTTTACAGTTCCTTAATTTTCTTAGGAACTCAGTATTTAATTTAAGAGATGCATTTCGAGCAGGAAAATTAATCTATTTTACAATGATTCCGTATCGGAACGATCAAAACTAAATTATTTCGTTAATACTTTGGTAATGAATTCAGAAAATTTTATGAATGTATGAAAATTTTTAAGGGTGTGGGTTGTGATAAATTAAATTTGTTTAACATTGAATTAAATTGAAAAATGCTAGTGATTGATTATTTTTCAGTTTTTCATCGTACTGGTACACATGTTGTATGGTACTAATGACGTGATATTTGTAGAACAGGAATGCTACCGATCTTGTTGAAATTGGTTCATAGAAATCTGGTAGCAATTGCATACTATTACTTGTAAGTTGTAACATGCTTGTAACTGCCAAAATAACTTTAAATCATTTCCATAAATTCTGTACATATCACGTCATTGTAATGGTTATTGATAGTTCAAAATCCTATGATAAGTCAACAATAGCATACACTATAAAATAGAAAAAAATATACAATATTGATACTCCATCGATCCAGATAATCACAGCATTTCAGTTTTATATTTTCCGACCCTATTAGTTTTAAAAACTTGCAAACACTTTGGCAAAATAATAAACGAAATTAATAGGCCTCAATCACTATCAACCTTTTATTCTCAAATTCCTTCTAATCTGTGAGAATTTTATTAATTATCTCATTTTGACCCAGAAACTTGATTGCAATCCAAAAAGCGAAATATCCATTTATTCACAGTATTACAAATGCACGTAAGTATCAATTATCATTGAAGCGGCCTTAAATATTTGATTTTCATTCGAGGCAAAACATTGTAATGTAAGGCCGGAAACTTTAAAGCTTACAAATACAATGCAATAACATTAATAAAAACGCTTTAACGCACCGTTCACAGAAACCATCAAATAACGGATTTTGAACTTGTACGTAATTAATATTATTCGACTTTAAAACAGTGCTTTAAATTAAAATCAAATGATTTCTTGAGCTCAGACGTCAATATCTCGCGTTAATTTTAGTTTGAAGATTTTTTTTTTATTGAAAATCTTTTCAAAATAGTACATACATCAATGTAATTGCATGAAAATAACACGGTCAAAAAGTGATTTCTATGTACTATAATGACGGGAAACCAGAACGTAGTTCGTGCAAAAATTACACCTACAAAATATGGTCCCTGACAAAACATTTCATACAATCAACACATATAAATGTAAGATATATAGTAATAGAGATGATTGTGCAATAATAAAATACAGCGTGCATAAAATATCATAATGTTAATAATTTGTTAACTTTTTAATGAAATAGATTATATCATACAATACTTTTAAAAACCCAACCCACAACCCAACCCACCCCTAACCCCTTAAATAGTTTGGATCGGTTATTTTAGATTAGAGAATTGGCATTGGGAGAAATGAGATGCATCTAATCATTATCAGACAGGTAGAATTCAGCGTGACTATCGTTTGGATCTGTGGGTAGCATTTCCGACCATAGGTGATCCTTAAGTTTGGCCTTGAAGATATCAGGACAGCTATGGTCTCTTATTTCGAGAGGAAGTTTATTCCAGAGCAGATGTGTCCGATAAAAGAATGATTTCTTAAGGAGACTGCTATTACACTGTGTTTGAACAAGAGTCGTTACATAACTTAGGCTGTCATGGTGACATGATCTTAAGCGTGTGCTTCCTTTGTATAGTTGTAAGTAATTAGGAAGCTCTTGTGTGCATACACCATTGACTATTTTGTGAAACAAGGTCAGGTCATTCAATTCAAACCTCTTGCTGAGAGGAAGGATTTTCAATTGATGACATTTGTAAGTATAGTTTTCAAAGGACTGATAGCTTGTGAATTCCTCATCAAAAATCCACTTAATACACCTTTTTTGAAAAGCATCCATCTTATCTAGTTGTGTTTTATTAAATGGACGCCAGATTTGGGAACAGTGTTCAAATTGACTTCTAACAAGTGCAAGGTATAAATTTCTTCTTCGTCTCTCATCTTGGACAAATGAGCAAGTGCGTTTCAGCAGCCCAAATTTTTGGTTAGCTTTGGACAATATTTTAGTTATGTGTTCTTCAAAACGAAAGCCCTGATTTATAACGACTCCAAGATCTGTTTCCGTACTGGTGTAATCTAAGGGAGTATTACCGAGCAAATATTGAAATCTGATAAATGGAATAGGTAATATCCTACTGCTGAATTTCTTTCCAGGAATAGAGAGGACTTTACACTTTGATGGATGGAATCGCATCTTATTTTCTATGCTCCAAGAATTAAGTTCATTTATGTTATTCTGAAGTGTGCAATAATCGTTGTATGATTTAATAGGACTCCATATTTTCGTGTCATCAGCATAAAGTACCAAATTTGTGCCTGAACTTAATCTCATGGGAAGATCGTTTATGAATAAGACAAATAGAATGGGACCTAGGACGGAGCCTTGAGGAACTCCAGACAAAACAGGTTTGATCTCTGAATGTCTACCATCAACTAAAACACATTGTTCCCGTTCACTAAGATAGTTGGTTAGGAATTTGAGTAGCCTTCCTTCAATATTAAAGACGAGTTTAAGTTTCTTAAGAATAAGATCATGATTTACAGAATCAAAGGCTTTAGCAAAATCAAAGTAAATGATGTCTACACTTATAGTCGAACAGTCATTGAGGGATAGCGTGACACTGTCAATAAAGTTAATCATATTTGTGGTACAAGATCTGTCTCCAAGAAATCCATGCTGTCTATCATCAAGAAGATGCATTGTTTTATTCAAGAGTTCCTGTTTAATAAGGCGTTCAAATGTTTTCATTATAAGACTAGTTAGGTCAAGATAAATCTTGACCTAATAGTAATACTTTGTGGAAGGTTTTAATGGAATGATCTGGAACTTCTTGAATCTTTTGGTAAAAGTTCTAGCTCATTCTACCATGCCGGACTTGTTAATAAAAGGTATAAAAAGTTCTTGCTTATTAGACGATAAGAACAACTGTGCTCAAGCTAATCTCGTCGCTTTTCATTTGTCGTTTGAAGTTGGGTCGGGCACTTAATCAGCCGACAGCGTAAGTCTACATGTTAACGTCACGTATTACCATGGTTACAACGTCACGTCGTCACGTGTCAAACCAGCCCCGAGAAAGAATGGCTGGTCGAGGGCCAACTTTATGTTGACAGCACTGATCTTAATCTCACGCACAAACAGATTCCGAGCGTGCTAAATCACTTTACACTGGAACTTTAAGGGTCGATATTTTACCAGGTGCTTGAGCTGGGTTAGGGTTACCATGGTTACAACACTCTTTAGGGTCGGGGTCAGAGTAGAGGGTTACTTAGTCACGTGCGACAGTTCAGTGTAGAGTGATTTATCATCATCCAACAGATTCATAATCATAAATAATGTCGTACAATTTGTATCGTGTTGTTAACGTGGAATTAGTTCGACAGAACTCTTTTAGTAAAAGCACTTTTGCTATTGATTCATCCATTGCAGTTTTACTTTTATGATTACGGAATCAATGAAGATATCTCCAACAGCTATGAACAAGTTAAAATATGCGTTTTGAACTCTAATGTATGTTTTATGTGTTAACCCCGTGATGCCTATGTATCTGTTGTTTCCATGTATTTATTAAAATGTTATTTCTTACAATCAGTAATTTTGCGACGATTCAGCTATTTTAGAGATTTAGAACCTGATTTTCTAACGACTAAACTGATGGTAATTTTTGACCCAATGCGGATTTGGTTCCATAAATCGCAAAAGCTACCCAGTGCGATCATATTTCGTTTTCAGAGCAATTTATGGAACCAATCCAACTTTTGTTTTGATATGATGGTGTGATTTAAGATTTCTGACTGATTCTAAAAATGTCCATTATGATTAGTACCAGTAGCAACCTAGCCATCCAATTTTTGTCGAGTTTCCGACAAAAACTAATTCAACGTCTAAAATTATCTTTTCCAAAAAGTGATTACGTAATATGTGAAGGCCCCCTTAGTATACTGGTTTCTTAATAATGGACATTCTTTGGAAGTATGAAGGGCATTGGGTCCAAACATTTGACTAAAACCATTTATATCTACAACCACTAAAGGAAGTTTTATTAGCTAAAATATTTTTACAGTTTCTTTTAACAACCCTTATAAATATTCTTTTAATTTATTTACCGCTGATTATCATTGAGTTATTTAATACTATTCGTGCTATATTTGAAAACGGGATTGAACCAGAGTCACATTTCATTGGCCTTCATAATACTAACATTTTACTAACATAGCAGTGCCAGAATTACTCATAGCGTCCCTTTGACATCAATTAGAGTACTAAATTAATAAAGTAACTACCTTCAATCTCTAAATCATCGTAGTCCCTGCACATCACTACTGCAATCTTATGTAGTTGTGAGGGCTGTGCATTTAAAAGTTCTAAAATCTCTTTCAATACTCAAAATAACACGAGTTAAGTTTTCAGTCGGTTCAATCCCACAAAAATAATTATATTTGTCAATATATTTAATATCAACAGCACTGCTATCCAGAAGTCCTGGGTTTTGTTTTCAAAAGAAGAATTCTCTTTATTCATATCATGATCAATTATTCTTTATCTTTCGTTCATCATTTTCGTTCAGTCGTTCACCTTTAAACTTGAATAGCTCGACTATCATATCACAAAATATTATCACGATTGAAGCTTAAATTTGTTAAATTTGTTGACCTTTTTTTTCTTTCGGCATTGAATCCTTATTCCTTAAAACCGTACAGGTGGTACTGGTAGTGTATTCTAAGTGGGCTTACAAGTGGCTATAAAGATCACAATGTTTCGTTTAAGATATTAAAGGAAATGCAATTTATAAGAAACCTTGTTAATGAAGTATCAATTAGCTTACTTTGATTGGAGCTTATAATAGTGGCAATAACTTAATATTCTAAAAAGTAGATGTTTGTGAAGGTTTGGGGAGGGGGGTTTTCGAGGGATTTAATGCCGAGAGGTAACTCAAACTGATTCTTTAAAGATAACTGATATACATACTGGCAAGCTTTCTTGCTTTTGAATTTGAAATTATGAGCTCAAACTTAAAATTTAACCGCTGTTTTACTTTGATCACCACCTCTAACCGAAATGATTCAAGTACATAAATTTACCGATGAGCCAGTTAAACAGACTTTTTATTTCAACCAATACGTTTCATCCCTCTTTCAAGGTTGACGGATCGTATTGTAGTAAATTAGGATCCTACAATTCGAAGAAAATTGTTTAGAAAAAGCTCCGAAATGTTCTGAGTGGAGTTGGGTTAAAAACATATAAGAGATACGATGATTTAACTTGTAGAAGCTTTCAATAAACATGTGTTAATCGTCGTCCGAAATGTTCGTTATAATACGACAACGGTGTAGTTATTAACTAATACTAATAGCTTTATAGCTCTCGGCCCAACCCTCATTCATTACTGATGTATTGTAGGGATGTTAAAGGCCCGCTTATAGCTTTTAAATGCAAAGCATACGATCATTATGGCCAGAATACTTGAATTATACATAGATTATGCAGGAAGACTAGACAAAACCAGTCGTGTCATTAGCCACAGATCACGTGACCACAGAGGCCCTGTGGGCGGGGGAGCGTACTATAAGTGCGTGATGGCCTCCTCAATATTATATAGAGCCATTACACAATCGCCAACTGTTTGGCAGTGAGCCAGCTGGAGAATGAGCCTCGTGACTCTGGTTGTTGCTGGGGCTGAACGCGCAGCATTATGCAAAGAACATATTGTCAGTATTCAGCTGATATATAATGGTTATGAGTGAAACTCCTGATGGCATACAGCCACATTTCATGCGGTAATTTACAACATTTACGTCAACGATTCCGGTATTGTATGCCAACTCATTTGGCGATGTTCATATTACCACGTATCAAACATACCTAGATAACATTTCCGTCATTTTATTGAGGTCAAAATTCTTGCTATCTTGGAAGTGAACATTTTAAAGGGGACTCAGAAATACTCGGATCATAACAACGTCAACATGGTACGATAACAAATTAGCAGATCACAAAGTATCATAACTACAATGTTATGCTATTTTAGAACTCGAAACATTAGACAGTACTAATCATAAAATCACCATAAAGTGCTACCAATACAAAGTAACATTACCTGATATGGTAGTGTTACCATAGTAATACTACCATATATGGTAGTGTTACCATAGTAATACTACCATATAAGGTAATACAAAGTCAAATATTCATTTCAGTTTCACTCCTACTCACCTACTGTTTATTGAGTAATTATACACACAAGGTCTAGAATCTAGATGGACACGAAAATTATACAAATTACGTAGCTCAATTTACATAGGTTGCCATAAATCATAACATGAATGAGCTGGAATACAACTCTATTTTCAATCTCTGAATATACCGGTAGAAAACCTTTTGTACAAAACCCTGCCTAAACATCCATTAGTGCATCGCCGCACCCGCTAAAAAAGGAGGTTCGAATGAATGATGGAACCATGACAACAAATGGTAAAAGTGTGTAACATTGCTTCTCTGCTGACGAGGCCAGATATCTAACTATCAGGGAGGCAAAAATATCTGAGGAGCATCACGTGTTCATGATGACAGATCACGCGTTCTCCTTATATGGGCATCACGTGACATCATGATGACAGATCACGCGTTCTCCTTATATGGGCATCACGTGTTCATCATGACAGATCACGTGTTCTCCTTATATGGGCATCACGTGTCATCATGACAGATCTGACCACACGTAGAACTTCTTGCTCTTCTCCAGACTGATAAAGGCTTGACCCATGGGGTGCCACTTAACAACCGGAACCGCTGAGCTGTGCATTTTAGGGACCTCCTCTCTCTTAAGAGTGCGCGTGTTCCAGACGAATATGTTGCCGTCTGTAGAACCACATGCTATGTACTGTCCGTCTGGGCTGAAGGAACAGCGTGTGTGTTCCCCCATTCTTAGCCCATCTGCTGTGAAGGTCGCTATCGCTTGTCTTAGTTTGAGGTCTATGAACTTTATCGTGGACGCGTCCTGAAGGGGACAGAAATCGTTTAATGACGAAAAATATATAATATAATATATAATGTCAACTATATTTAGATAAAATGAAGTTCTTATATTGTAGTGATATTTTCTATGATAAGACTATTTTATACCTTGCAACTACATGCGAGGTACTTTCCACATCCGCTCAGGTCCAGGCTTGTTATCCGACCGTCTAGGAGCATTTCAAAGGAAGATGTGTCCTGTCTCTCATCCCAGAACCTCAAGCGTTTGTCGAAGTGACCACTCACAATGTCCGTACTGAATTAAGTTACATTTAAGTTTAAATTTCGTGTCTTCGTGGACATACCAAATACAATACTATAATACTTAACAATAAATTATAAACCTAACCTAATACTGGCTAGAATTGCACCTTGATTTATCAAAATATGTCGTCCACAAATAGTTAATCTGTTTAATAAGGTGCTGTCTAACTCAGTGGACAAGTAAATTAAGTAAAGTAATTGAAAGCAGCAATCACGTGTTCTCCTTATATGGGCATCGCGTGCCGTAGCAAGGTGAGCTACGGAACAGAGCCCCCTAAAAATGGATATTTTGTTAAGTGTTACATAAGTAAGTTTTACATTGAGTTAACACCGGGGGGGGGGGGGGGGGGGGGGGTGCACCACTCACTTACCCTTGTTCACTAAGCACAGCGAGATCGTGACAACTTGACCGAGCAAATATCGTCCGTACATCTGAAGAGGACAGTAATTATGTAGCAGGTTTAAGTGATTTCTAAGCAATGGAATTTGGTGGTGAACTTGTAGGTATGATATACAATACAATCAACACGTGATGCCCATATAAGGAGAACACGTGATCAGACTAAATCTTACTTTTGTTAGTTCTGACGTCCCACAACCTCAGGGTCCTATCATGACTTCCAGACACTATTTTCTGAGAGTGGCTGTAGAATTTGACGCAGTAAATCTTGTTGTCGTGTCCCATGAAAGTGGAGCGGATTTGCCCACCAGCCACTTGCCACATTCTAACTGCTGAGTCGTTTGATCCTGCCACCACGTATTGATCCTGGATGGAATAGTTTCATCTCAAGGTCCTGTGAGGCCAGGAGGTTTCAAACCAGGAATTCTGGTTCTGAGCTAAAATTTTCTACCAGTAGTTTCAGAAATAGTCGATTTAAAGTGATTGTTTTAGTTAGGAATTGGATCGAGAAATTAATCTATTAGCAGCGAGTAAATACGTGTACATTAAGAGATAAATTTCAATTTGTATCGGTGGCGCGCACCGTGCGCAGAATAAACACGCGTAACCTAACTACTTGCCATGAAAATTTAAATACTACTTTGGCAGCGCGCGCTACGCAGACAACATTTGTCAGTGTGTCAGATAGTGGCAATCAGAAGTACGCAAGGCTGGCTGCTAGTTTATACTGTTAACAGTCAAATCCATATCTCACTAACCCGTTCGTCAATGTCAATACTCATAACTCCAGCATTGCACCCAGTCAAGGTGCTGATACTATCAACATTTGGCACTGAAATAAACAATTATTTAGCAATCGTACAGCCGGAAGTGGAGAAAGTCTTAGAACTAAAATTTATAGCCTATGATGTGCACCTGCTCTAAAAGTATCAGTTGGAAGCCCTCTTAAAACTGTAAAATAATTATAACTAACGATTACTGGATCTCCATAACTTGACACATTTATCTGCACCTCCGGTAGCAAACATGGTCCCTTGATAACTGAAGGCTAACGAGTATAACTCGCTCGAATGTTGCTCCTGAAAATGTGTAATGATTTTCCAGTAAGATTAAAACTATAATATTAATCTGATTGGAAATGAACAAGAATTGCGCCCGTTGTTTCGTTTTGGCGGACGCTAGATTTCCATTCCACATTTACTATAAATTTAAGTATAAGCTCCAATCAGCTCACTTCAATCTTCATGATAATAATATTGATAAATTGTGCATTAAGTACAGGAAACACTCGAAATTCAGTTCAATTGCCAAAGAACGTAAAGTTAACTTGTAAAGCAAAGAATTTAGATTGTAAGCAAAGGTAAACTATACTCGTGTACACATCAATACACTACGCGTGCCACGTACAAATCGGGCTTATAACCTAATATTATACATTACATCGTATACTATACATTAAAACACAGTCGCGCCGCGCATTCATAGATCACAGGCTATCTATACATCACATCTCCGCAAGCAATCCTCGCGCGCGCAACTTTTTCGTTGCATGGTAACATACGGAAGTACCCACGACATGTTCAGACCCACCTACAGCAATCTCCAAAATCCACGTTTTTCTGCAAAAAAAACGTCCATTCGTAACCTTTCACTATTGCCTTTTTTCAAAAGGGTGAAATGGAAAAAATTGTAAAAACAATAAAATGATAATATATCCCACCACTTTGTTGGTAACTTGGCTTGGTATGATAGCAGGTCCAGAGTAGAGTCTGCAGCGTGATGAAACACTGATAATAAACATTTAGTAATGAATACTTTGCAACTTTGTAACAACCAATCAATAACTAGAATATTTTTCACTATTCAAAATAAACCATCATCTTTCCATCGCCCACACGCACTGCAATCAGCGAAGAAGGCACAATGTCCGTTACAACAAAAAGTATTAGAATCAGTACACTAAAATCACAAACACATGCTGCCTACTGGATAAAGGAAAATGGGTCATACCAGACTCTAGGTAAAGGTAGGTATGTAATATGTTTAGGTTAATAGACCATGCCTAATCAACTAAAGAATAACCCAGGTTCAATGAGACACAGCTGAATAACAGGTCACAGCACGTGTGATGACGTCACAGCACGTGTGGTGACGTCACAGCACGTGTGATGACGTCACAGCACGTGTGGTTCAATGAGACACAGCTTGATAACAGGTAACTTACGAACTGTGCCTTGATTCGTGGTCCTCGCTCTCAGACTCAGATTTGCGGAATAAACGAGAGAATAGTCCAGCACGCCCCCCGGCACCACTATTCGATATTCCACCCAAACTAAACACATGTTTACATTAGGCTCCTTATTCCAAACCTTATGATCTTAAGGATGTTTTATATGAGGTGTGAGATGGCATCTTTGTGGTTGTGATAAAGTTGATGAGCAGATTTTCAGCATTCCATTGTTTTATTAGAATCACTAAATCATCCTGACACTATTGATACAAACGTTTTATATAACTGTGACAGAAAGGCCTACCGGCTGCGGGGAAGCGATAAAATATCAACTTGAGAAAGGTTAGTCGTGTGATTAACACTTAACAAACTGAAATAACAACTATTTTCAGAGAAAGTGCCGACATGTAATAAAAAGAATGGCGGAGTGAACACGTGATACCCATATAAGGAGTGAACACGTGATACCCATATAAGGAGTGAACACCTTTACATGCAGACCCCAATGATATATCATATAACATGTTACATACGATTGTTCGGGCGAGTTGTTATCTTCTTTTCTTGCACTTTCTAATTCGTAGAACATCTGGTGCTCTTTTAACCTGAGTGAAAGAGTGAGTTGAACTAACTAAAGAGGGTGTTGAAAATCATGCTATAAATTTAGGGCCTGAGCCCTGGATAATATATTATGTAGAACTTAACAGGGACAAGTTATGTAAAATGTTTCCAATCAGTAATTAATTGGATGGTTTGTTCAGTATTAGTAAAAACACGTGATAAATGCCTTGTTAAGGTGATATTGTAAAACCATACTAACTTTTTCATTGTGTCGTTGTGCATGTTCACTACATCCGCCTCCTCCTTTTTGTGGAGAAGTATTTTCTCCAGCATGTGCTGGTTCTCCATCAGTAGATTCTTGTTGTCCTCCTCTAGTTTTCTACACATTAGTTGCAGAGTTGTAAACTCGTCTCTCAGCACACCTGAAAACATTGTAGTTAATATAATTTCCATATTTGTAGCGGAATGGATTATATGGGCAGTGAGGGATGATTGAAGAAGTCATTCTCAATTAAACAATGAATTTGAAAATAATGATGAAGAGGAGTACCATTTTCCTGCTCTAGACGGAAGCACTTCCCATCCAAGTTAATGATCTGAGTCTCTTTACTGCCCACATCCTTAACCTTCATAGCCATTCTCAGCATCTCTCTCTGCGTGTTCTCATGCTGTCTTATTAGCTGAATATTCTCCTGACAAATATGGTTATTTACATAGTTATTAGCTCAGTCTCCTTCTAGCCTCCACTTAATCATCTCAAAGCAATTATACACACAATTAGAGGCACATTCCCTAATCTACAATATCTTGCCTAATAAAGCTATGTAGTTGAAGTAGTAATACTATAGTATATCTACTAAGCTAAGTAGTTGTTAAATAATACTGTTAATTGATACTTTAATATCTAAATTTTAATTTAAAATCACTGCCTGCCCACCTGCTGAAGAGATAGAAAGTTCTTGTCATTTTCTGTGAGTTTCTTGCCAGGATCGTTTATAATACTCTTAATATCCTCCTGTCTCCTGAGATTCTCATAGTCTAACTTCTTTATCTTTCCTCTGTACTGCTCTAGTGTACTGTACAGCGACGCGACTGTAGAAATGTTAAATATATATTATATATATTATGTGATATATAATTTTATCATATTATGTTATTACATTACGTAAAATATATATTATGGTACATTTTATCTACTGCATTTTAGAACAATGATATTCCCATGGCGGGAATCCAATTTTTCCTAATGGCAGTAATGGGGCTGACATTATGAATCATACGATGCGTTTATAACCACTCACCTTATCACGTGATAGATTAACTAAAACTACTTACAGCTATTAAAGATGTCCTCATAGGGGGCTGTCTCTCTGTTGTTTCGTTCTCTTAGTTTCTCCACAAACTGTTTTGGCCAAGTTCCACTGATTACTATTTCCCAGGTTTTGGGTTGTTTTCGTTTGGAGCTTTCACCCATATATCATCCTATTGACCTTCTATTGTCCCCTGTACCGCTGGGCCATCCTAGATAAAGTTATCTATACAATTACTCACAGTAACTCAACATGACAACATACAATAGCTTACAAAACATGTTTAATATTAATATTATATATTTTTAAGTTTTAATACTTTCAACACTGCTACGAGACAATCAGTGTGGGTTTAGAAAGAACAGATCATGCATTGATCAGATTTATTCACTCCGCACTATTATACATAACTGCATTGAATATAATCTCCCCCTGTATGTAAATTTTGTGGACTTCAAGGCAGCTTTTGATTCCATCGACAGGAATTATATTTGGAAAGCTTTCAGTCATTATGGCCTGCCATGTAAATACATTCGAATAATACAGGCATTCTTTAATGGAACTGTTAGTGCTGTTAGACACAATGGTGAACTATCAGAATGGTTTGAAGTAAGTTCAGGCAGTGGCCAAGGAGACATTCAGGGTCCCCCACTTTTTAATGTATCTCTCAATGTGGCTGCTGAGAGAACAGAAAGCAACAAAGTGGTGTCCCACGGAGCGGTTCTTCAAAGATCTATCAGTCCGCTCGTTGATGATATCACTGTGTTAGATACAGATTATGCAGATGACATGGCTGTACTGGATAACAGCGAGGAAGGTCTTCAAGAAACAACTGACCTTTTGTGTATGTATGGTGCCCAGGGAGGTCTTAGAATCAATGGTAAAAAGACTGAGGCTATGGTCATTGGTAAAGCAACCTCTCAACGGCCATACACGAAAGAAGCCACAGTGAACATCACTGTTGAAGACACGCCAGTGCAGCAAGTTAGTGACTTTACGTACTTAGGTACAATTATTTCCAGCGACGGTACTATCGACCGTGAGCTGTCAGCTAGGATTCAGAAAGCTTCCGGAGCCTTCAATCAACTGAGTAATATATGGAAAAACCGCAACATCCAGTCTTATACAAAGATCAGGATTTATAAGGCAGCGGTTTTGACAATATTGTTATATGGTAGTGAGGTTTGGAACACAACCAAAAAGCAGCTACATCGCTTTGAGGTGTTCCATCAGCGTTGCTTGAGGAGAATACTTAGGATAAGATGGCTCGATCGGGTTAGAAACACTGAAGTGCTGGAGCGTGCAAAGATAAATCCAGTAGAGACGTACATAGGAGCAAACCGCCTGCGTTGGTTTGGCCATGTCACCAGAATGCCAGACACTAGGCTTTCTAAGTACCTGCTTAACTGGACCCCTGCCCATGGGAGAAGATCTAGGGGCCGTCCAAGAAAGAACTGGAGGAAATGTTTGCTGGAAGATGCTGCATCGTTTACAGGAAACACTGACATAGACCTAGAAGGAGCGAGCGAGATGGCTAGTGACCGAAAACTTTGGAGGGAGATGATACGTCACAAACGGGAGTTCATTGGTGCAGGCCACTCGAATGATTGAGGAGACCTAATCAAGTAAGTAAGTAGTATTTTTAATTTTTAATACTTTCAACACTACTATATAACAAATAATTTGAGGATGACTGTTAAGGTATATTTTACCGACATTTGAAGTCAAGGCGTTGTTTTACTGACAGTTGTGGCTGACTAACAATATATATATTATATATATATATTATATATAGTATAGTTTGAGCCTAGCCTCAATATAGGTAATTCAGGATATTTGTATTTGTGCATCTTGCTTGTAAGTTGAAACCTAATATTATAATGTCTCTAGTATAGTTTGAGTCTCTAGTATAGTTTGAGGTTGAGATAGACACATTAGCTCAAATCTGCAAATTTAAAGTCCCTCTTTATGAATCTGCAACTTGTAGTTTTGATAGATATAGGTTTGGCAATGACTTACAAATTAGGTAGAGAGTAAGAGAGATATTAACTTTTTTTTTAAATATCGAAAAAATGAATAATAAATATTTTCTAGGGAATTTTTCCTTAAAAATAGCATCAGAAGATTTTGCTGACTACTGTAGCCACATGAATAAAAATCTGATAGAAATAATAACACACTACTTTGTAGCAAAACCATAACAATTTATCTGGAATTAATTAAATAACAAACAAGTTTACAAGATAAAAATACGTCATACAATTATGTTTTATTTATGAAAAAGCAAATAATTTTATTATGCTCGTATCATCTTCGTGTCAATTTGAAATATTAAAAACCCAAAACATAACAAACAGGTAACATTGACTATTACCAAAAGTGTACGCTTATAAAGCTAATAACGTCAGCCAACTCATCAAATTTCCTGCACTCATATCACTGTGTATCTGGAATGTTAAAATGACACAACAACACAGCGTCCCCAGAATGGAATAGGAATATGGGATAATCCGTACAAACATCTAGAACCTTCATTTCAGGGGTCTCCAATTTAGCAGACAAACTCTCTGTCACCATGTTATACATACACAAACTCCCTTTTTCAGAGAAAACAGAATAAAAACCGCACATAAAAACATTTCCTTGTGTTTCAACCTCGCTAACCAGCCTCTGATCGTCCATGCTAGGGTTGAGAACTAGCGAATATAACACACTCCCGCAGCTAATAGCCAGGAAGGTATGAGAGTTATAGAACCTAGCTGCTCTACACACCAAACCTTCTGATCCTGGTAACCCTGGTAACCCTGGTAACCCTGGTAACGCTAACTCACCACACAACTCACCCTGCAGTGTCCAGATATACACATTACCAGCTGAAGTACCTACTAGTCTATCAGACATGTGTCTGAGAGATACTATCAAGTGAGGGGTGGGGAACTGGCTGAGTTTAGTGAGGGTGCCAGAGAGAGGATCATACACCAGGGTCTGGATAAGGAAGGTGGGAGGAGTAGTCACGTGATGAGGAGTAGTCACGTGATGAGGAGTAGTCACGTGATGAGGAGTAGTCACGTGATGAGGAGTAGTCACGTGATGAGGAGTAGTCACGTGATGAGGGGTAGTCACGTGATGAGGAGTAGTCACGTGATGAGGAGTAGTCACGTGATGAGGAGTAGTCACGTGATGAGGAGTAGTCACGTGATGAGGAGTAGTCACGTGATGAGGAGTAGTCACGTGATGAGGAGTAGTCACGTGATGAGGAGTAGTCACGTGATGAGGAGTAGTCACGTGATGAGGAGTAGTCACGTGATGAGGAGTAGTCACGTGATGAGGAGTAGTCACGTGATGAGGAGTAGTCACGTGATGAGGAGTAGTCACGTGATGAGGAGTAGTCACGTGATGAGGAGTAGTCACGTGATGAGGAGTAGTCACGTGATGAGGAGTAGTCACGTGATGAGGAGTAGTCACGTGATGAGGAGTAGTCACGTGATGAGGAGTAGTCACGTGATGAGGAGTAGTCACGTGATGAGGAGTAGTCACGTGATGAGGAGTAGTCACGTGATGAGGAGTAGTCACGTGATGAGGAGTAGTCACGTGATGAGGAGTAGTCACGTGATGAGGAGTAGTCACGTGATGAGGAGTAGTCACGTGATGAGGAGTAGTCACGTGATGAGGAGTAGTCACGTGATGAGGAGTAGTCACGTGATGAGGAGTAGTCACGTGATGAGGAGTAGTCACGTGATGAGGAGTAGTCACGTGATGAGGAGTAGTCACGTGATGAGGAGTAGTCACGTGATGAGGAGTAGTCACGTGATGAGGAGTAGTCACGTGATGAGGAGTAGTCACGTGATGAGGGGTAGTCACGTGATGAGGAGTAGTCACGTGATGAGGAGTAGTCACGTGATGAGGAGTAGTCACGTGATGAGGAGTAGTCACGTGATGAGGAGTAGTCACGTGATGAGGAGTAGTCACGTGATGAGGAGTAGTCACGTGATGAGGAGTAGTCACGTGATGAGGAGTAGTCACGTGATGAGGAGTAGTCACGTGATGAGGAGTAGTCACGTGATGAGGAGTAGTCACGTGATGAGGAGTAGTCACGTGATGAGGAGTAGTCACGTGATGCCCATATAAGGGAGCGGGGGTGTCTGATGTAATGGAGAGGAATATCCTGTCTGATGTGTAGCAATATGTTTCTATCTTCTTACACTCGTACACTAGGTTAGATGTCTTTATATTTACTATCTTACTACTGTTTTTATCAATACCAAGTAAGAGGTCTCCAAACAACAAGATATAATCTGTATATGAGCTTAGAGCGGGGGAGATATCCCACGTGTTTACACGCCACGTGTTGATCTCAACAAGGTTAATGTTACACTCAGTAAGTATCAAGATGTGTGAAGGTGTGTGTACTGGTTCATATTGTGGAGGTGACGTCACGTGTTCTGATGACGTCACGTGTGGGGGTGACGTCACGTGTTCTGATGACGTCACGTGTTCTGATGACGTCACGTGTGGGGGTGACGTCACGTGTGGGGGTGACGTCACGTGTCCTCTGTAGATAAACTTAGCAGACACTAATACAGTATTATCTTTATTCTGCCCGGTTTGATTATTGTTGTTCAGTTTGTACTGATGGTTACAGACCATCTTTGTAGGAGGTTTCAAGAGGAAGGGTAGTTTGTAATGCGGGAGCGGCTTCAGCTGAAATTAGAAATATGTCAAATAGGGTCTTACAGTACAACGGAAACAAATCATATAAAGACGGGACCAATACAACTAAACAATACAACTAAACAATCAAACATTTAACCACGTCTATACTACCTAGGATCTTTGTTTCTCTGTTCCTCATTATCGTATCAATTAAACAGACTCAAACTTTCGACCGTAAAATTGCTCTAAACAAATAGCTAAGAATGAATAGAAACTGTTAACCAACAATAATAAATAATAACTGGTAAATTACACTGCTTCTGAAAATCACGAACCTTCTGTTCACTGTACTCCTCCTTATTTTCCTCCTTATTTTCCTCTTTGTTAACTTTCTTGCGTTTGTTTTTCCGTCTGTCAGCATGTTTTAGTTTCCTATTAAGTTCCTGTTGTATTCTCAGTAGCTCAGCTCTCTTTCTGGAGATCTCATCTCTTGCTGCTTTCTCTACTTCTTCTTGAGTTCTCATCTACAGACCCTGTTATATACAGGCCCTGTTATCTACAGACCCTGTTATCTACAGGCCCTGTTATCTCAAACTCGTATTTTTACCTTATATGGGCATCACGTTACTATATGTTTACCATGCTGTTATCTACTAGTCGTCTCATCTTCCTTCCTTCCTTGTATTGATGTAGAGATAATTTCAAGTAATCTATATAGCTATATAGTATAGTAGTATATAGGCAGTACTTGCTAATGATAAACATAATTAATTAGGTAGTACTTGCTAATTATTAATATTATCTTGTCATTAAATCAGTCTTTTAGTTTCTGTAACAGAGTGTCTTACTTGGTTTTTTGTTCAATTTCGAATAAAACGGAGGATTAAAACACTGCAGTTCATTTCAAACAGATAGAGTGTAAACAACAAATTAAACAGTGAAATCCACTATATATAATGATAATAGTACTGAATATTATTCTGCAACTCAAACTCGTGTGTTGACCTTATATGGGCATCACGTTACTATATGTTTACCATGGTGTTATCTACTGGTACATTCACAGTTCTCGTATGACTTAATCAGTCAGAAGTTAATTAAATAGCTACGCAAAAAGAATTAGCAGGTAATATCAATATATCTTTACAAGTTTTCTCTTTAGCCAGCAAAGGAACTTTCAACTTTAAAATGCAAATTTTTATTACGTTAAATAGATAGATAAATAGCAATTAATCACATTATTACGCTAATCGAGCATTCAAACCAATAAATTAAAGATAAATTAAGGATTTAAAATAAATTCACTGTCAAGATCCAAACTCATTTAGTAATCATATTGATTAAAATGGGACCGGCCCTCAAAACAAAGTAAAATTCAAAATTCAAATTGTCAGAGATAATTTAAGATTTAATTAATTTAACTCAGAAATGGGTATAGAATCACAACTTATCGATAAATTTCTTAAGAGAAAATTAAAAATTAAATAACAATGCAATAATATAACTAATCTACTGTCTAGAATCTAGATTAAATTCAAGATTAAATTCCCATGCGCCAAGGCATGCAATATCACTTTAATAAATCAACAACTAAATCTAAATTATAAACAAACCATGCCTAAGATATCAACAAACGTCGCTAATTATTCTACTTAAACTACATGTGGTGTGACGTCATAGCACGTGGTGTGACGTCATATCACGTGGTGTGACGTCATGTCACGTGGTGTGACGACATGTCACGTGGTGTGACGTCATATCACGTGGTGTGACGTCACGTTACAAATAACGCTCACCTCTCACAGTACAAGAAATTTCTCGTGAGTCGTCTTCTGTAAACAGAATCATTTCTATAAACATGACCTATATTTTAATTCGTATCTTATAAACATGACCCCGTACTTCTTACAATAAGTCTAACAAACAGTTGGCTATAGTCAGGATGTTTATTGAGCGTCCACTACAGTGCTCAGGTCTATGTCTATTGGGAAGACGTTAGCCTTGTCGGAGATAGCAGCAGCCTCCTCGTAATAAGCTAGTTGTACTTTAGTCCACTGTTCTAGCTGCACTGTCAGGTCTTGTACTGCGGGAGATAGTGTATAGTAACCATGGTAACTATACATAGTAACCATGGTAACACTACCAGTTTATTAACATTCAACAAAATAGGAGCGATTAAATAGTACATTAAGATGCCTAATTGTAAAATCTAACAAACTATGTTTGTACCGTGGGAGATAGTGTTACTAACCGTGCTTTGAGTTAAGGAGCTGAAGTTTGACTCTGACGTCGCTGCGGAGTTGGAGGAAGTACGCGCGAGCTTGCGCGCGACACCGGAGTACAACTCTGTACTCGTAGTTACCTTCCTCTACACGGGGTAGCGGGTCGTCTAATGACTGGGGGGTTAAAGGGGGGTTAGAGGGGGGTGGGGTACAACCCCTTACAGGGGGTAGTTTACAGGGGGTTGTACTCGTAGTTACCTTCCTCTACACGGGGTAGCGGGTCGTCTAATGACTGGGGGGTTAAAGGGGGGTTAGAGGGGGGTGGGGTACAACCCCTTACAGGGGGTAGTTTACAGGGGGTTGTACTCGTAGTTACCTTCCTCTACACGGGGTAGCGGGTCGTCTAATGACTGGGGGGTTAAAGGGGGGTTAGAGGGGGGTGGGGTACAACCCCTTACAGAGGGTCGTCTAACGACTGGAATAAACAGTTTTTTAACAAAGTCAGCAAATTTACATAATGATGATTCTGGAAATCAGGGTACTTTTCTGTTCTAAACTATACTATTTAAAACCTCTTTTGAGGCGCCTGAGGAATTTCACTGTCAAAATAATACTAACGTTGAAAGTGTACTCCTCATCATCCATCTCCTTTATCTTGAGACAGTAAGCAAGATACTCAAACTTTGCGTTTGCGTACTTCTTAATAGTCAGTCTCATGTCAGGTACTGCTTTGTGAAGATAAGTTCCTAACTTGTTCATTATCTGACGGGAGGGAGCTGGTTAGTGTGCTTTTTGTGCAGATCTGACTATTCTGCTGTTTTCTGGATAATTATTTCAGGTCATACAATTTTTTTTTAAAATTATTAAAACTTTGTTTTTGGTTGAAGAACTATCCTTGAGAACCATCAAAACTGCCAGAAGCAATCGAAACCCCCTTTGGAACACACTAAAGTTTACTGAACAATGTATAATGTATAATGTATAATGTACAATGAACAATGTACAATGTACGTACAGGTGCAGCTTTCTTCTGGAACTCAGAGCCAGCCTTGTGGTAGTTTCTGTGTGTGTCTGCGAAAATAGTAAACGCTTCGTTAGCAGCACACTTCTCACGTACTGCAATCTGTGAGAACAGGTCACCCATTCCTGGAGAGAGGGGGGTTAGAGGGGGGGGGTTAGAGGGGGGGGGGGTTAGTGGGGGGGTTAGAGGGGGGGTTAGAGGGGGGGTTAGAGGGGGGTTAGAGGGGGGGTTAGAGGGGGGTTAGAGGGGGGGGTTAGAGGGGGGGTTAGAGGGGGGTTAGAGGGGGGGTTAGAGGGGGGGTTAGAGGGGGGGTTAGAGGGGGGTTAGAGGGGGGTTAGAGGGGGGGTTAGAGGGGGGGGGTTAGAGGGGGGGTTAGAGGGGGGGTTAGAGAGGGGGGTTAGAGGTGGGGTTAGAGGGGGGTTAGAGGGGGGTTAGAGGGGGGTTAGAGGGGGGGTTAGAGGGGGGGTTAGAGGGGGGGTTAGAGGGGGGGTTAGAGGGGGGGGGTTAGAGGGGGGGGGTTAGAGGGGGGGTTAGAGGGGGGTTAGAGGGGGGGTTAGAGGGGGGGTTAGAGGGGGGTTAGAGGGGGGGTTAGAGGGGGGGTTAGAGGGGGGGTTAGAGGGGGGTTAGAGGGGGGTTAGAGGGGGGGTTAGAGGGGGGGTTAGAGAGGGGGTTAGAGGGGGGGTTAGAGGGGGGTTAGAGGGGGGGTTAGAGGGGGGGTTAGAGGGGGGTTAGAGGGGGGTTAGAGGGGGGGTTAGAGGGGGGGGTTAGAGGGGGGGTTAGAGGGGGGGTTAGAGAGGGGGGTTAGAGGTGGGGTTAGAGGGGGGTTAGAGGGGGGTTAGAGGGGGGTTAGAGGGGGGGTTAGAGGGGGGGTTAGAGGGGGGGTTAGAGGGGGGGTTAGAGGGGGGGTTAGAGGGGGGGGGTTAGAGGGGGGGTTAGAGGGGGGTTAGAGGGGGGGTTAGAGGGGGGGTTAGAGGGGGGTTAGAGGGGGGGTTAGAGGGGGGGTTAGAGGGGGGGTTAGAGGGGGGTTAGAGGGGGGTTAGAGGGGGGGTTAGAGGGGGGGTTAGAGAGGGGGTTAGAGGGGGGGTTAGAGGGGGGTTAGAGGGGGGGTTAGAGGGGGGTTAGAGGGGGGGTTAGAGGGGGGGTTAGAGGGGGGTTAGAGGGGGGGTTAGAGGGGGGGGGGGGTTAGTGGGGGGGTTAGAGGGGGGGTTAGAGGGGGGGTTAGAGGGGGGTTAGAGGGGGGGTTAGAGGGGGGTTAGAGGGGGGGTTAGAGGGGGGGTTAGAGGGGGGTTAGAGGGGGGGTTAGAGGGGGGGTTAGAGGGGGGTTAGAGGGGGGGGTTAGAGGGGGGGTTAGAGGGGGGGTTAGAGAGGGGGGTTAGAGGTGGGGTTAGAGGGGGGTTAGAGGGGGGTTAGAGGGGGGTTAGAGGGGGGGTTAGAGGGGGGGTTAGCAGCGCACTTCTCACGTACTGCTATCTGTGAGAACAGGTCACCCATTCCTGGAGAGAGGGGGGTTAGAGGGGGGTTAGAGGGGGGGGGGTTAGTGGGGGGGTTAGAGGGGGGGTTAGAGGGGGGGTTAGAGGGGGGGTTAGAGGGGGGGTTAGAGGGGGGTTAGAGGGGGGGTTAGAGGGGGGTTAGAGGGGGGGTTAGAGGGGGGGTTAGAGGGGGGTTAGAGGGGGGGTTAGAGGGGGGGTTAGAGGGGGGTTAGAGGGGGGTTAGAGGGGGGGTTAGAGGGGGGGGGTTAGAGGGGGGGTTAGAGGGGGGGTTAGAGAGGGGGGTTAGAGGTGGGGTTAGAGGGGGGTTAGAGGGGGGTTAGAGGGGGGTTAGAGGGGGGGTTAGAGGGGGGGTTAGCAGCGCACTTCTCACGTACTGCTATTTGTGAGAACAGGTCACCCATTCCTGGAGAGAGGGGGGTTAGAGGGGGGTTAGAGGGGGGTTAGAGGGGGGGTTAGAGAGGGGGGTTAGAGGGGGGTTAGAGGGGGGTTAGAGGGGGGGTTAGAGGGGGGGTTAGAGGGGGGGTTAGAGAGGGGGGTTAGAGGGGGGTTAGAGGGGGGGTTAGAGAGGGGGGTTAGAGGTGGGGTTAGAGGGGGGTTAGAGGGGGGTTAGAGGGGGGGTTAGAGGGGGGGTTAGAGGGGGGGTTAGAGGGGGGGGTTAGAGGGGGGTTAGAGGGGGGGTTAGAGGGGGGGTTAGAGGGGGGGTTAGAGGGGGGGTTAGAGGGGGTGGGGCACAACCCCTTACAGGAGGTAGTTTACATGATGGTTAGAGGGGGGTGGGGTACAACCCCTTACAGGAGGTAGTTTACAGGATGGTTAGTGGGGGGTGGGGTACAACCCCTTACAGGAGGTAGTTTACATGATGGTTAGAGGGGGTGGGGTACAACCCCTTACAGGAGGTAGTTTACATGATGGTTAGAGGGGGTGGGGCACAACCCCTTACGTAGGAGGTAGTTTACATGATGGTTAGAGGGGGGTGGGGCACAACCCCTTACAGGAGGTAGTTTACATGAACTAGGTGAGTGTAATGTTTATGTCTTTATAAAGACATGCTAGTCTATTAAATCTAGTCTATAAATAGACTAGATTTAATAGACTAGCATAGTTGAGCGTAATGGTTCTTATCACTATAGCATAGCATCAACATTTGTCTTGCTGAGTCAATACGTGATAATTTGGGTATTCCGGTAGCATAAATTATGTGATTATTGTAAGTAATACAGTGCATAAATTATGTAATAAGTTATAAATATTAGAGTGCAGGTGTGATTCGGTGCGATACTGTGATAAAGAATTTAAGAAAAAAGCATGATAAAGATTAAAGAACATTTTTGGATGTAAACCGAATTCTACAAATTTTAGGAATACCCATGACGTTTTCCTGAATTTGACAATGATAACATTTTATCATACTCCACATATTATCTTAAAATAGGAATTCCATGAGCCGATGGTTAAAGTGTGTGTAAAGTATAATATTCTGTTGAAATAAGTATAAAGTTACCTTTGTAAACTCCACACACTGCATTGAAATCCAGGAGAAGATAATGGGACCTGACAATCATCTCTAAGAAGAAGGGAAAGTTCAGTTTCTCAGATAAAATCATTGACCATATAAGGTCATTGACCTCCTAATAAGGTCATTGACCTCCTAATAAGGTCATTGACCTCCTAATAAGGTCATTGACCTTATATTGTCATTTTAAATGGTATGTTTAGTACCTTTGTAAGGACTGCAGAGGTCTGCATGTTACCATGGTTACATGCAGAGGTCTGCATGTTCCTCGTCAAAATCAAATAGTTTCATATAGTCGGTCATGTGTATCATTAGTTCTGTCAAATGGTAGTGTAAATATTGAGCAGACAAATCAACTAATTCATTTATTAATGTAGTTGTCTGTTAAAACCGTTTCTTGCATAAAAATTCATTTAATCTTGTAGATTTATTGGATTCGTTGAGTGACTTGATATTATTTAAGAATCTTTAAATGTTTTAACCCACCCTTGTAAAACTTAGCATTTCTCTCGAATTCTTCTAATTTCTTAGCGAGGTCATCTGAAAGGAATGTTAATCAGTACTTCTATATAGGAGGTCATCTGAAAGGAAAGTGTCAATGATAAGAAAGGAACGTGACAAAACAAAAGCCGAAATTCGCAATTATTATCAATACTACTGGTATCATATTATTATGTAACACTCCTTATCTGTAGGCTTTATATACTTACAAGTAGCTTTAATAAACAAATTTACACTAGACATTAAAACTTACCGTTGCACAGCACAGCCCGTGTTAGGCCCAGTTTATCAGCCGTACCACTAGACATTCTTTCAATACACTTGTGTTTTACTTTCTTCATTACTGAAATAATTATCAGATTTTCAGAACGAAATATGATCAGATATTACTGCGTTTAGGTGGTATAAGATCAGTACGAGTATTGAATATGGTTGCCATGGTTACATCAGTACGAGTATTGAATATTGGTGGTATGGTTGGTGGTACGGTTGGTGGTATGGTTGGTGGTACAGTGGCCGTGGTTAACAGACAACAAAAGATTCAAGATGAGGAGTAATCAGACGGTTCAGTGATTTGATTAAATTTCACTGGTATCTCTAAACAATATTCACATCGGGTGGAAAATAGCTGATGTGACACTTGTTAGATTAGATCTGAACCTGATTGTTTATATCCCTTTATATGTAGCTCAAATAATCCCACTGAACTTAAGAAAAGCGCCCGCTAAGAGCATTAATCCTAGATTTCAACATGATAAGAAACGTAAGAACCAGTAGACTAAGCACTGCATGATAATATAAGCTAATTTACAGCTCCGTTCAAACTCAACCACCATGCTCGAACTGTAGGCTGCATTGCAGGAATCAGGGTATAATGTTTCAAACTCGCATTGTGTCCGGAGAACATGGTTTGCAGGTTTTAAAGTAAAGTAAAAATAGGGTGTTAAGATACTGAGTGAAGTAGTTCGAGTTAAGATACTGAGTGCAGTAGTTCTAGTTAAGATACTGAGTGCAGTAGTTCGAGTTAAGATACTGAGTGCAGTAGTTCGAGTTAAGATACTGAATGAAGTAGTTCGAGTTAAGATACTGAGTGCAGTAGTTCTAGTTAAGATACTGAGTGCAGTAGTTCGAGTTAAGATACTGAGTGCAGTAGTTCGAGTTAAGATACTGAGTGCAGTAGTTCGAGTTAAGATACTGAGTGAAGTAGTTCAAGTTAAGATACTGAGTGCAGTAGTTCTAGTTAAGATACTGAGTGCAGTAGTTCGAGTTAAGATACTGAGTGCAGTAGTTCGAGTTAAGATACTGAGTGAAGTAGTTCGAGTTAAGATACTGAGTGCAGTAGTTCGAGTTAAGATACTGAGTGCAGTAGTTCGAGTTAAGATACTGAGTGCAGTAGTTCGAGTTAAGATACTGAGTGCAGTAGTTCGAGTTTCAGAAACAAGATATTATCTGGAGGGGGTTGTTTAAAACATATTATTATTACACAAACATACTACATATTATGAGTAATACGAAATGTTTATTCTCACCCATATCAAGACCCTTTGCCTCCTTGAAGTGGTGGCCCATAAGTGACTACCCACAAGCAACCTCTTAATAACTCACGTAATTCGTCTCCAAATTGCACCAAAATTTCAGAGATTATAGATATGGGTCAAACTTAGATTTCCTGAAAGTTTCGTAAGCCACGCCCAATTACAGTGGGCGTGGCGTGACACTCCCTCTTTTTCACTATTGTCTTCATAAAATGAGAACGCTTTAAGCTAAGAACTCAAAATTTTTCGCACACATTTGGCTTGATAATTGAAAACCTTGGTTCATTGGTTAAAATATGGCTAAGTTATGACCATTTCAAAACTCATCGGATACGTGATCGGTCACTTGGTTAATGGCCTGTTTGGCTCACATGCACCGCTTGATTGGTTGCAGCCTGCTTATGGGCCGGCCTATACAGCTGACAGCACCTAAAACGCTATCACACGAATTTATGGTGGTGTCACCATTTCAGGGCTTGTTAGCCCTGCTAGTCACAGGTTCCTTACAATCAATAAAAATGGTTCACTATCCTCCCTTTACTGCAGAACAACGATTGTTTGTCTACCTGAAGAAAGAAAATGGGGAGTTCTACCCTCAGATTAAACGACAATTTCAGATGAAATTCAACCGACCACCCCCTTGCCGGAAAAGCTGCTTTGACATTCATCACAAGATCAAGTTTACGTTTTCTGCACACGATCGGCGAAGAGTCGGCAGAAGACGAACTGCGAGGACTGTAGAAAACATCACGATGGTTGTTGGTGACGTGTTGGACACACCTAAGATTGGCACCCGGAAACGAGCTCCTGCCTTAGACCTCAGCAGAACAACCCTTCAGCGAATCCTAAAGCAAGACCTTTCTAACCGGGCCTACCGAATCACAAAGAAACACAAACTTTTGGACCGTGATTTCCAATCGAGGATAGATTTCGCCAACACATTCTTTGAACATCTTAATTGAAATTATTGAATTGTTTTTGTGTGGGAATTTTTATTAGTTGATTTCATTTATTGATTTATCCTAAAAATTTGTGTTTTCCTTTCTAGCAAAGACATCATCGGTATCCAATCAAAGCCTAATGAACCTCATTAATACACGCCTTACTCTTGATCAGATTGGGTGACGAGATCACTAATTGAGTGCAAATATCACTGACTGAGTGCTCGGATCACATATCCGATGGATTTTAAAATGGTCATAACTCAGCCATATTTTTACCAATGAACTTGAAACTTTTGGAAAAGTTTTCAATTATCAAGCCAAATGTGTGCAAAAAATTGTGAGTTCTTAGCTTAAAGCGTTCTCATTTTATGAAGACAATAGTGAAAAAGAGGGAGTGTCACGCCACGCCCACTGTAATTGGGCGTGGCTTACGAAACTTTCAGGAAATCTAAGTTTGACCCATATCTATAATCTCTGAAATTGTGGTGCAATTTGGAGACGAATTACGTGAGTTATTAAGAGGTTGCGTGTGGGTAGTCACTTATGGGCCACCCTGTAGTTCGAGTTAAGATACTGAGTGCAGTAGTTCTAGTTAAGATACTGAGTGCAGTAGTTCGAGTTAAGATACTGAGTGCAGTAGTTCGAGTTAAGATACTGAATGAAGTAGTTCGAGTTAAGATACTGAGTGCAGTAGTTCTAGTTAAGATACTGAGTGCAGTAGTTCGAGTTAAGATACTGAGTGCAGTAGTTCGAGTTAAGATACTGAGTGCAGTAGTTCGAGTTAAGATACTGAGTGAAGTAGTTCAAGTTAAGATACTGAGTGCAGTAGTTCTAGTTAAGATACTGAGTGCAGTAGTTCGAGTTAAGATACTGAGTGCAGTAGTTCGAGTTAAGATACTGAATGAAGTAGTTCGAGTTAAGATACTGAGTGCAGTAGTTCGAGTTAAGATACTGAGTGCAGTAGTTCGAGTTAAGATACTGAGTGAAGTAGTTCGAGTTAAGATACTGAGTGCAGTAGTTCGAGTTTCCGAAACAAGATATTATCCGGAGAGGGTTGTTTAAAACATATTATTATTACACAAACATACTACATATTATGAGTAATACGAAATGTTTATTCTCACCCATATCAAGACCCTTTGCCTCCTTGAAGTGGTTTGTATCCACTGTTAATTTAGCGTACGTAAATGTTACGTCACCCTGAAAAATAAGCATTTAACAGTTACCCGCCTCCTCAAGCATGCGATTGACGTCACAATTGACGTCACAAGGCAAATACAAAACCGAGTTTTGTCTGTCTGAATAATAGGAACTGTACTGATTATCAGATATCATGTTCCAGCTCAAGTTTCACAGATTGTAAGATATCAATGTCACTGGACTGTGGACAATTTCTACATGTCACAAGTTGTCATTTCCAGACTATTTCTCCATTTTCTGACAAATGAGACCCCTTAAATGCCGTAATTGGCCAAATATAATAACATCTATAAACAAAAGAGCACCTAAAGAGGCTCAGCAAAGTGCTGGCCTATTTACGCTTACGAAGACTCATTCGTTCAATATGTCTCAAAGTAAATAAACTCCTCCATCCTACTCTATCTCTTGCTAAGTTCACTAAGTTGGTAAAATCATCTTCATTTTTCAAATAAATTTGTCTCTTAAATAGGTCCTTTTTCACAATAATATCATACAAATTAGTCCTATGTCTACCCACTCGTCCCTTTAGTGTTTGACATCCTAGTGTAGCAAATAACAGAGACTGGTAGGCAGGCGTGTCGTTGTCGCTGCGTAGAACATGACCTAGCATTGTCCACCGTGCCTTTTCCACTCTCTCGGAAAGGGGCCTGGTCTGGGTACGAGCGTAGAGGGCCTTGTTAGATATTGAGCTAGGCCAATAGATGTGTAGGATGCGCTTGAGGTGCTTCCTCTGAACAACATCTACAGACTCTAGAACATGCTGAGGTACGGCCCAGCAGCAGCAGTTGTACAGGAGCACTGATACTACTAGTGAGTCGTAGAGTTTGATCTTTCTCTTCTCAGTTATCTGACTCCTCTCTGATCCCTGGCACCACAGCTTGTCAAATGACCAGAAGGCAGAGTTAGCTTTATTTATTCTATTAGTAACATCCTGCTCTGATCCAAGCTTAGTACCAAGAAGCGTCTCGTTTCTCCACTCCTCTTTTCCTCTTAGTTCATTACCCCACTCGTCACAGGCACCAACTTCTTCTAAATACACTCTGGTAAACTTTGTCTTTGTGTCATTGACAAAGAGACTCCATTCACTGAGAATATTCTTGGAGATCTGAAAGATATCCTGTAACTCCTCCATATCTTCACCAATCTCCTCTACATCGTCTGAATAGCCGGACTCAAGAGGCATGTGGTAATCGGCTATCGGAGGGTTGGGTCTTGAGGGGAGGACTGCTCTTATGTGCACTACAGCTCCAGCTAGATTGAGGGTAAACAATTTACCAGCTGTGCTGTCTCCTTGGGAGGCTCCTATGTTGAAAGAGAACATCTCTGAGTCAGTAGAACACACTCTAACTACTAGAGTGGTGTTAGCCATGAGGTATTGTACAAGCCTCAGGTCGTCTCTGGAGCATCCTGCAGCTTCTAGTAGTCTGATTGTTGTACCTCTGCGGATGGTATTGAAGGCAGCTGACATGTCGATACTCACTTTGTTCCATTCAAACTCCTTCTTCATTACTACAGATATGAGCATGCTCTGTGCCCAAACTAGGTCGGCACAGCTCCTGCCAGCTTTGTAGGCAGCTTGGAACGGTCCCGTGAAGTTGTCCACAGCTCTCTCTATTCTGTTTAGCACTATCAGTGACAGGATCTTTCTAGAAACATTCAGCAGGGTCAATGGTCGTATCGACTTAACTGGGCCACGAGTTTTACCAGGCTTAGCCAGTGGTGTGAGGATGCCTGCTCCTATTGCTTCAATGTGAATGTTTTTCTCGAAAGACTCGTTGAACACTTTAGCTAGCTCTTCATGAAGGAGGGGGTTGTTCAGGGCTTTCATGACCTCACCAGGAACGTTATCAATACCCACTGCTTTACCAGACTTGAGTTTACTGATGGCTCTCTCTATCTCTGCAACGGTGATGGGACTGTTAAGGCTAGATGGGGGGTCAAGGAAGGCAGGAAGGGTAGGCTCATCAGCGTCGTTGAACTCAGCTTCAAAGTACTCCTTAATAATCCTCGCTTTCTCCTCATTAGTACCTGTGATATTCCCAGCAGGGCCAAAAATGTGACTAAATTGTTTGAAAACTTCGGATTTTATCAGAAAACGGCAGATTTATCCACTAAGCTAGTTCACGTTAGCCGGTCTGTAGATTAAACTATTAAAGAAAAAAAAGAAAGATAATAAAGATGTAAAGATTATAAACATCATTAACAAGGAGGAAGAAGAGTTTTACAGAAATACTCAACTAACGTCAATACGCTGGATAAACTTGGCAGCCTGCACTTTCGTCATCCCCTTGAGACTTCTCGTGTTAACAGCCATCAGCTCATCTCCAGCTTTTAATGTTCCCTCTTTCCAGGCGGGGGTGTTCTCGAATACCTGGGGAGTGTGGTGTTTATAATACCTGGGGGATTGTGGTGTTTATAATACCTGGGGGAGTGTGGTGTTTATAATACCTGGGGGAGTGTGGTGTTTATAATACCTGGGGGAGTATGGTGTTTATAATACCTGTGGGAGTATGGTGTTTATAATACCTGGGGGAGTGTGGTGTTTATAATACCTGGGGGAGTGTGGTGTTTATAATACCTGGGGAGTGTGGTGTTTATAATACCTGTGGGAGTATGGTGTTTATAATACCTGTGGGAGTATGGTGTTTATAATACCTGGGGGAGTGTGGTGTTTATAATACCTGGGGGAGTGTGGTGTTTATAATACCTGGGGGAGTGTGGTGTTTATAATACCTGGGGGAGTGTGGTGTTTATAATACCTGGGGGAGTGTGGTGTTTATAATACCTGGGAGAGTGTGGTGATTATAATACCTGGGGTTTATAATACCTGGGGGAATGTGGTGTTTATAATACCTGGGGGAATGTGGTGTTTATAATACCTGGGGGAGTGTGGTGTTTATAATACCTGGGGGAGTGTGGTGTTTATAATACCTGGGGGAGTGTGGTGTTTATAATACCTGAGGGAGTGTGGTGTTTATAATACCTGGGGGAGCGTGGTGTTTATAATACCTGGGGGAGTGTGGTGTTTATAATACCTGGGGGAGTGTGGTGTTTATAATACCTGGGGGAGTGTGGTGTTTATAATACCTGAGGGAGTGTGGTGTTTATAATACCTGGGGGAGCGTGGTGTTTATAATACCTGGGGGCAGTGTGGTGTTTATAATACCTGGGGGAGTGTGGTGTTTATAATACCTGGGGGAGTGTGGTGTTTATAATACCTGGGGGAGTGTGGTGTTTATAATACCTGGGGGAGCGTGGTGTTTATAATACCTGGGGGAGTGTGGTGTTTATAATACCTGGGGGAGTGTGGTGTTTATAATACCTGGGGGAGTGTGGTGTTTATAATACCTGGGGGAGTGTGGTGTTTATAATACCTGGGGGAGTGTGGTGTTTATAATACCTGGGGGAGTGTGGTGTTTATAATACCTGAGGGAGTGTGGTGTTTATACTACCTGGGGGAGTGTGGTGTTTATAATACCTGGGGGAGTGTGGTGTTTATAATACCTGGGGGAGTGTGGTGTTTATAATACCTGGGGGAGTGTGGTGTTTATAATACCTGGGGGAGTGTGGTGTTTATGATACCTGGGGGAGTGTGGTGTTTATGATACCTGGGGGAGTGTGGTGTTTATAATACCTGGGGAGTGTGGTGTTTATGATACCTGGGGGATTGTGGTGTTTATAATACCTGGGGGAGTGTGGTGTTTATAATACCTGGGGGAGCGTGGTGTTTATAATACCTGGGGGAGTGTGGTGTTTATAATACCTGGGGGAGTGTGGTGTTTATAATACCTGGGGGAGTGTGGTGTTTATAATACCTGAGGGAGTGTGGTGTTTATAATACCTGGGGGAGTGTGGTGTTTATGATACCTTGGGGAGCGTGGTGTTTATTATACTTGGGGGAGTGTGGTGTTTATAATACCTGGGGGAGTGTGGTGTTTATAATACCTGGGGGAATGTGGTGTTTATAATACCTGGGGTTTATAATACCTGGGGGAGTGTGGTGTTTATAATACCTGAGGGAGTGTGGTGTTTATAATACCTGGGGGAGTGTGGTGTTTATGATACCTGGGGGAGTGTGGTGTTTATGATACCTGGGGGAGTGTGGTGTTTATAATACCTGGGGAGTGTGGTGTTTATAATATCTGGGGGAGCTGAGTGTGGTGTTTATAATAACATGGGGGAGTGTGGTGTTTATAAAAATATCCACAGTGTTTCATTTAACAGATGAGTGTGAATGAATAGTTGGCGTTTTTTTGAGAATAATAGTTTTGTTCGGAAGTTGGTAATAACGTTATTTTCTTCTAGTCACTTGTCAGAGTTACTCTGATTATCAGCAAGAAATTATAAGTACACATTAGTTTAACTAATGTTGCTAAATTACCTGGACTACATAAAGAGAAGGACAGTAAGGTGCCCCGCCCCCGATAGTGAGCCCCACCATTCCGTCTTTTCCTCTCTCCAGTGTAACAGTACTGCCTGGTACCATTGGGTACATTTCACTGCTGCCTAGATAATGTAGATATAGTTACTACCTTAGATTGAGATTAATAATAGGGTTGTTCTTTTGTTATTCTCTAATATTGAAGAATTTTGCAATAGATTTCAATAGATTCATTCAGTTTCACAGTAACCATGATCTGATATGAAAATTAATAAATATTTGGATCAAACAATGATACGAAACGATGTATGCAAGACAGCAGTTGAGTATTTACACATTGAAATTTTAATAAGAACACATTCTGGACAAATTAACTGAAATTAAGTAATATCCCATATAAATACTATTTACCTGGTTACCTGGTTACCTGGTTACCTGGTTACCTGGTTACCTGGTTACCTGGTTACCTGGTTACCTGGTTACCTGGTTACCTGGTTACCTGGTTACCTGGTTACCTGGTTAACCTGGTAATATCCCATATAAATACTATTTATTATTCTGTTTCAACAGAAGTAATATCCCATATAAATACTATTTATTATTCTGTTTCAACAGAGCAACAGAAGTAAAAACTATCAATTTTAGTAAAAAGTTTTAAAACTTACATCGACTAAGCACTGAATGTTTCATAGAACAATCAATGCAGTATTTCGTAAAGCGTATGCTGCACTTAATTTGTCCATGTTTATTGTTTAAGTCAATATTCTGTTAAATTGCTAATTTGATTAAAATTTGACCAGCGAATATTTCAAATCGAAAGTTCTAAAAAGGGCTTCAAATTGGCTATTTCATGCAGAAAGTAACAGTAAATAAGACACTCAAGACACAATCCCAGTCTTCATCAGTCCACAACCATCTGTATTAGATTTAAGCTGTGAACGTCATATATTTACACAGATCTCCAGTCTCCACCAGTTTCATCTTGTCTGTACACTAGTTCTCTAGTGTGAGAGAAGAGGAGGAGAGGAGGTCAGTGCAGGACGACTAGAATGTGTGTCTAGATAACAGAGGTCCACTAACCTCACCCACCACCACCACCACCACGACTCAAGTTGGGTCTGGAGGGACGGAATCCACCTGGAGAGGGGGCAGTTACTGGTTAGACTGGATAGTATTGTCAGGGAAGTAGGGGCAATGTAACTATAGAAGAGAAGTGAACTACTGAGGAAGGAACCCCCTCTCCCCCCTCCTTAGCTCCAAAAGCCCCGACCATTACCACCACTAGTCCCCCCCCCCCCCCCCCACTATAACTTACTACCACTAGCCCCCCCCCCCCCCCCCACTATAACTTACCACCACTAGCCCCCCCCCCCCCCCCCACTATAACTTACCACCACTAGTTCCATGACCCATAAGAGGATTAGCACTGTCCAGTTTGAGCGACTTCTTTTTAGCAGGTTCATTACTAAGTTTACTCCTGTACCCGCCTCCTCTCTTGTGTCTCTCCCAGTCCTCTATCTTATCCTGCCTCTGTTGCTCTTCTCGCTGAAGGAGATCAGTTAGTGCTGTTGTTAACTATTTTTAAAAAGTAGTTTATTTAACTTAGTTAACATCGTTAAAAGTTTAACTTAGTAAATAATATAAAAAGTAGTTTATCTATCTTAGTAAGTTATTATAAAAAGTAAAAGTGTTTAACTAAATATACCTCTCTAATCTTCTCAGCCTCTATAGCAGCAGCTGCGTCCACCTCAGCTTAGTAAATAATATAAAAAGTAAAAGTGTTTAACTAAATATACCTCTCTAATCTTCTCAGCCTCTATAGCAGCAGCTGCGTCCACCTCAGCTTAGTAAATAATATAAAAAGTAAAAGTGTTTAACTAAATATACCTCTCTAATCTTCTCAGCCTCTATAGCAGCAGCTGCGTCCACCTCAGCTTGTAACTTCTCACGAGCTCTCCTCATAGCTTCTAACCTATTCATCTGCTCTTCCGGGCCTATACATTGTTATTATTATAGTCAGGTTACAATCTAGGATACGAGAATTCGCTCTAATATTCATTATTTTGATGTAACTGAAACTGAAGCACACATTGGACTTTGAGAAGGTGTACACTTACTTAAGTTAGATTGGACACCATCTCTCTTGCTCTGGACCTTCTGTTCGAGGTATTCGACTAGTTTCTGATACACATAATAAGTTACAACAGCTCCGATAAGGATAACGTAACCGTGTGTTTCAAACACCGACCAAACTGAAAAATCAGGTTAGTTACCTGGTTACCTGGTTACCTGGTTACCTGGTTACCTGGTTACCTGGTTACCTGGTTACCTGGTTACCTGGTTACCTGGTTACCTGGTTACCTGGTTACCTGGTTACCTGGTTACCTGGTTACCTGGTTACCTGGTTACCTGGTTACCTGGTTACCTGGTTACCTGGTTACCTGGTTACCTGGTCACCTTACAGGTTAGTACAACTTGTGGAAATCTTTACAGCAGTTTATAATTTAATGAACTTTAATCCTAACTGAGCCTAGAAATAAGAAGTTATGTTTGCAACTCTAAGAGATTACAATAACGATATGATATAGCCGGACTAGTAGTGCAACTCTAAGAGATTACAATAACGATATAATATAGCCGGACTAGTAGCCCCCCTCTAAGAGATTACAATAACGATATAATATAGCCGGACTAGTAGCCCCCCTCTAAGAGATTACAATAACGATATAATATAGCCGGACTAGTAGTGCAACTCTAAGAGATTACAATAACGATATAATATAGCCCTCACCGTAAGACACAACAGTGGAGAGTAAGTAAGGGTTCTTGTTACTTAACACAGGGGGGTGCTCCTGGGGGTCATGGTCTATGATGACGTCATCGTCAGAGAGAACACTCTCAGACATGATCCTAGCAGGATATATAATTAGTAATTATCATAATGTCCCTTATTTATTGCGTTTAAGTGTATAAACACAAGCTTGGGGGGGGTGTAACCCAAAAAAACCCAAAAAAACCCAATCCCAGTATTACCTTTTTCAGGGTAGGAGTTGGGTTTTTTTGGGTTTTTTACAAATTTTTCATTTGAAGGAAATAAAATCATGTAGGCACCTAGCAAAACAATTATTAGTACAACATCACTGTTGTGGTTCATCACTACAACATCACAATAGATATAATCGCTTAAATATCACCCAAAAGCAGTATTTTATTCACTGATGTGCTCAGAAGAAGTTGGCCATCCAGATATGATATCAGCCATATGTAATGCTCACTTCGATGGCCATGGCAAATTGAGTTAGTAGGGACGCAACTCACTGATGACCCCAACCCTGACCGCAACCGGTACGAGAGGAATAAAGCCTTTCTTCTCACCTTCACGATCTCTGTTTCCGTTTTCCTGATCATCCGCTTAACGAGAAACCATGCTCTATCTCCAACTGAAAGAATCTTGCAGTTACCATCAGCTGCATGATCGCATGTGATATTGAGTGATATCTTCGCTTGTTTATGGCCCTGGAGTCGCTAAAATCTTGACTGGGATGGCATTCGATCTCGCCCTCCATTGAGGCAAACCTCAACAGCCGTATCATGATGCAGAGCATCACAATACACAGTTACTATTTTCGCCCATTCCTCTGATGAGTCAATATCCTCCACTTTACAAGTAGGCAGGTGGTCTTTCAATGGTTGTGTGAAGCTTAGGTGGCCCAAGGCGTCACCGCTGGATAGAAGCTGGGTGGAAGCCCTGGTCTGATGTGAGGCTCCCAGAACTTTGAAAAGGGGTATCCTGCTGGTGCCCTCTTCCAGACACTCATCGGACAGCATGATGAAAGCCACTACCTCTGCGTGCTGAAGACTGGATACTGGACAGGGGGTCCAGGCTAAAGGCAGGACGATCGACGGGAGACATTGAGCCCCGGTAGTTCAATAATTTGATCTATTGACTCCTTAACTCTTGGTCTACAAGAGGCTTTGAGACTCGTAAATCTTTACTGTGGATTGCACAGTAGCTAAAGAGGTGTTGGCTGTTACCCTGTTCAACCTAGTCTACTATGACCATTGACCCAGCTAGACTGGACCACACTCTGGTGGTCAGGATACGGCTCCCTATGCCCGGGGTACCGGCTAACGAGGTAGTCAGGGGAAGGGTTAGTCCCCGCTAAAGTGTAGCTCTGTTCTCACTCTAACCTCCTTATGCTTTGGGATAAAATCGGAAAGTCCCACACTGGAGCAGGTGACGATTGGGTAAGGATTACAACTGATGCTGTTGGGTAGAAAAAGGAAGTGTCACATTTGTCTTGTATAGCATATTATGTTCGTGCAATTACATGCTCAAGATACCCAAGATATTATGGTGAGAGTTAAATATGGCTATTGTTCAAGCGGATGCCCTTAACCTTTTAGTGGCGCAAGAGTTAAGAACACAATCCACTGCCAATGTGCAGGGGTCAGGGGACTGCACAGGATTGTGAGCCAACTGAAAAGTCAAGATGAAGTTAATCAACAGCTTAAGGGTTAAAGCCCCTTATTTTTCTAGTGGAAGTGGTTGCCGGGGTAATTACGCTGCTATTACAGAAGCTGATGACTCGGTCTCCACATCACGACAACCTATTTCTACAGAAAGTCAAACAAGAAAACATCAAAAAAATATGAACATCAATTGTATTGTATTTGTATCATGTAAAAGGACTGCTAAGGTTAGCACATTTAACATAAGATTAAGAACAGCCAGAGAACAGCACAAACGCATCGAACTTGCAGAACTATTTTCTCGAAGCAAGCTGCACATCCTTGGCCTGCAAGAATCGAACATCGGGTAGTGCATGCTGATTGCTGAGAATACCAGAATAGAAAAGATGAACAAAGGGATTCATCCAGTGATATCATCTGCGTGGAGAAACGCAGCTGGCGCTTCTAATGGGAGAGTAGGAATCATCTTGACGAGGACAGCAGCGCATATGAGGCTATAAGTCTTATAAAATTATAAAATCTTACAGCGCAAGGATCCTCACCATGTCTCTTAATGGAAAGCCCAGGCTCACTGTCATCACATGCTACAGTCCTACAGAAGCCTCATCTGATGAGGAGGCATGAAATCTTTTTTGTCTAAAACCAAGCATCTTACAGTTAATTTAGTAGGAGAGGAGCCACACACAATAATTTCTAAGGACGGACATGCCTTAGAAGAAGTTGAGGACTTTAGTACAACGGAGCACGACTTTAGGTTACGCAAGGCCCAGGCATGGGCTGCCTACCACAAAATGTAGGCTATATGGAGGTCCAATTTGCGCCGAGATTTAAAGATCCGTCTGTTCAAGTTACGGTTGAATCAATCTTCCTGTATGGAACGAAAACGTGGACAATAACAGAATCTTTGAAGAAAAGAATAGACGGATGTTACAGTAGAATGCTTCGGATGGCCCTAAACGTGGACTGGAGAGGACATCGCACCAACAAGGAGGTCTTTGGATCACTCCCAAGAGTTATTTCGAAGATACAGGCCAGAAGAATGAGGTTGGCTGGGCACATCCAGCGACATGATGACCTGGCAGCACACCAACTTCTCCTTTGGGAACCTAGGGAGGGGTAGACCACCGCTCACCTTCGTCGATAACCTAATAAGTGACACTGGATTAAGAACACTGGGGAGATTAAGGAGCTTATGGCGGACAGAAAGCTTTGGAGACACATCATCGAGACTCGGACTCTGAAGCCGCCTTAAGTCAAGTAATTTAAGTCATGTGCTTTGACTTACCCTTGACCTTCGTCATAGCCTCCTTTCATGACAGGAGAACACATTTGCCACGTTTGGCACATTTCCACTTTGTGCATTCATATATGGATTATATCTCGATGAACGAGACATCCTGTTTGCTATCGTGATAACATACTATCAATATAAACACACTTATATACTATGTAAACTATCTATTAAGTTAAGACATGAGAACAACACGTAGGTAAGACTCAGTGGGAAATAATTCACATTCAATACAATTAATGAAATGGCTAGAATTTTGTTTAAAAAACCCAAAAAAACCCAAAAAAACCCAATCCCAGTATTACCTTTTCTTGGGTAGGAGTTGGGTTTTTTTGGGTTACACCCCCCCCAAGCTTAATAAGCTTACAATTAGCTACCTGATTAGTGATTACCAAGCAGTAGACTGTAAGTAACATGGCTATATATAGTATATGGGATGTATAGCAGAGATTAGTTGAAGTAATTTAGAGTTTAACCATAAAGTTGATCCAGACAGGGTATATCCCCACGTGATGCCCCCACGTGATGCCCATATAAGGAGTGCAGTGGCCACGTGATGCCCATATAAGGGGATCAGTTTCCTGGTCACGTGACCTGTATACCAAATACAGCTCTCCATTTCTGGCAAATGAGTGGTTAAAAGAACTTATTGCTTTCGTGAGTGCAGCTTTACAGCTCGTTTACTCAGCGTGTTTTCAGCTTGTTCTGTAGTAGAACACATGTAGTAAAGTTCTGTTTTGTAGGAGATGGTTTCTTGAATCAGATATTTATTCGACACTAGTAGTGATGGAGTGTCGTAGTGTTGTATTAGTGTTACAACACTCTTCAATACATCAGCTTTATATTCCCACAGCTTGAATGTGGTGTTACCGAGTAAGATGTTAAGTTCAAGACGTTGCCAATGAAATATGTGTTGACATGGCAACGGAGGAGGTATTCCCAGAAGATACTCCAGAACTAGAAGAACAGTTCAAACTACAAGACGGAGATGGAATTGTACCGGAATTGCGGAAGCGGGCTTCTTTCGAGCAGTTCCAATCTTGGCTTCGTGATCTAGGTTTGTACTTTAGTTTTATTATACAATAACAATAGTGTGTTCCAATCTTGGCTTCGTGATCTAGGTTTGTACTTTAGTTTTATTATACAACAATAGTGTGTACGTCAAGGTAGCGCAGTTGGTTAGCCAGCTTTGCAATCGTGAGGTTGCAGGTTCAAATCCCACTGCCTGCCTGGTCGTGGGGTGAGTGTCGTTGACATTCAGCTAAGGATCGTGAGTGGTCTATGCAGCCCCCCGGTCTACTCAGCCGAATACTCGAGAAATCGGGTGTGAGGGTTAAATGAGGAGCTGCACATTGCAGCAAAGTCTCGGGCGAAGAAAGTATGGTACACACTACCTTAACCGTCGTCCGTCACTGGCTAAAAACAAATCCTTCAACTTCCTGTAATTGGCTGGTTGCACTTGTGTAACAATATGGCTGTTGGAATACTCCGAAGTAAAATAAGTGTCTAGATAAAAAAAAACAATAAATAATAAAGAAACGCAGAACTAACCTTGCAGCAGTTATTTTACTTAACGTTTTATAAACTTCAGAATCGTATTTCAAGTGTAATCAGGTATACGAACCTGAGAAAAAGTACTCCATTCTAATGATACATGGAGGCCCCTTCCTAAATGAGATAGCAAGAACTAAGAAACTGGCGGAGAGAGGGGAATACCCTATCTACAAGTTAGTACAAATAAACAGAGCTTACAATTAATGTGTGTTGTTAGAGAGGCGAGTATATGTTTTCCATTGAATGAAAAATAACCGTAATTGTATTTTTGAATAAAAATCCTCAAAATGGCCTGAAATATACCTTTCTGAATTCTGAAAGCTGTCATCCCAGAGGCGAAGAGGAACAGATAAAACGAGATGAGGCAAGAAAACTACGAGACAAGCACAGAAAAGGGACAGTAGATGTCTATGAAGACACAAAGAAGATTTTAGTAGACAACTTCGTTCCAAACTCGAATGAAATCGTAGAGAGGATGAAATTCCTAGCAACCGAGCCGAGAATAGGCGAGTCAGATGAAGCCTTCCTTAACAGACTGATTGAGAATTCAATGTTTTGTGGGTACGATAATGGATACAGGTATATTGAGAGCACGCATGTGCACGTGCAATGTGCAGTGTGCACGTACAGTGTGCAGTGTGCACGTGCAATGTGCAGTGTGCACGTGCAATGTGCAGTGTGCACGTGCAATGATTCTTGCAACGACATTATGATCGGTTTTGTTGTCACAATATATATTGTGTCGACTGTTTTACATATTGATCGGCTGTATCTTCGGTTGGGATTGTTAAAAACTTGCTTTTAACTTGAATACTATTAGCTTCTTGATCCTTCATGTGACCACGGGTTTTCTAGTTAATATATAAAGTACCTATACTGTTACTGTTGATTGTTCAGTTCAGAAGATGCTATAGTGGAGCAGCAACTAATACGTCATTAATACGTGACCACCAATACGTCACTAATACGTCACTAATATGTCATGTAATCTGTTTCTTCAGTTCAGAAGATGCAATAGTGGAGCAGTTCATGGAGAAATGTATTTGGTGTAACCTAAAAACCCGACTTGCTTTTGAGTCTAAGTTGACGATAAGTAAGATACTAGAAATAGCAGACGATATGAGCAGGAGAATGCCCCCTGGAGAGGATCTGCGGTTTCAGATGCCTGGAGAGAGTGAACTGCAAGCATTTCCCATCACCCACTCACTAGAACGAACGGTAACGTTAAGGGAGGGGACCGCCCCCCCCCCCCCCCCCCCCCCAATCCCCATTCAACGATAAGGGAGGGGTCATGAGGCTACAATATCCTTTATTCTTTTATTAAAAGTTTGTTAGAAAAACTAAATTATGTTTCCTAAAATACTCGAAGAACCTGTAAAAGCAGGTCATGGAACAGTTAATAACTGTACTGACAAAGCATATTTTCAGAAAGGAAACATATACAAGCCATACAAGCTGGAAGATTTCTATGATAAAAACAGTGTGGAGACTGTCCCTGATCCGGAAGTGCCTTGTTTACATTGTGAGACAAAGGGACATGTTCCCCAGTTCTGTATATTGAAGGACAAGCACCCAAATAATTTATTAGAGGACTCTGAACCAGAGGACGCTGGACTAGATGACGTCATCTAGTGACGTCATCACCATATGACTAGATGACTTTGAGAATTTTCAAATCACATTTTTTGGAAATAATTTAGTCAAATACATTTAATTTCATTCTGTACCGAGGTCGGGCATGATATTGTGCCGACACAAAAAGTAAACGACTACAATACATCAATCACAATGTTCAGAGAATGAATATCAAATTCAAAGCTTTGAATTTGGCATAAAATATCATAGAAATTTGATTTAAAAGTACTATACTGATCAGAGTCACAATCCAGGATATTTCTCATTAACATCAGCTCTATTCCCTTAGCTTAAATATGATGTTACTAAGTAAGATGTTAAGTACAAGAAGTTGCCAATGAAACATGTGTTGACATGGCAACGGAGGAAGTGGTCCCAGACGAGGCTCCAGTGGAGGAACTACAAGATGGAGATGGAATTGTACCGACATTACAGCAGCGCGCTTCTTTAGAGCAATTCCAATCATGGCTTCGTGATCTAGGTTTGTACTTTGGTTGTGTTATACAAAAGCAATAGTGTGTACAATAAATGATAGAGAAGATATTTTAACTAACCTTGCAGCAGATTATGCAGTAGTTATGTAACTAAACGTTTTATAAACTTCAGAATCGTATTTGAAGTCTAATCAGATATCTGACCCTAAGAAAAAGTACTCAATTCTAATAACACATGGGGGACCTTTTCTGAATGAGATAGCAAGAACTAAGAAACTGGCGGAGCTGGAGGAAGACGAATACCCTGTCTTTATGTAAGTATAAATAAACACAAAGCTTAGAATGGCAAGCATATGTTTATCTAGTTATGTTCATTGAATGAAAAACGGCAATGATTGTTTTTTTGAATAAAACATTGTACAACCGGATTTAATCTTCTAAATAACCTTGTTCTATCTGAATTCTGAAAGCTGTCATCCCAGAGGCGAAGAGGAACAGATAAAACGAGATGAGGCAAGAAAACTACGAGACAAGCACAGAAAAGGGACAGTAGATGTGTATGAAGAGACAAAGAAGATTTTAGTAGACAACTTCGTTCCAAACTCGAATATGGTGGTAGAAAGAATGAAATTCAGAGCCGTCCAGCCTAAAATGGGCGAGTCCCATGCAGCCTTCCTTAACATACTGAGGGAGCATGCTATATATTGTGGGTACGATAATGGATACAGGTAAGGAAAAAGGAAAAATAGAAATATTATCATTTATATATAATAGAAATGTCTTTAACGAATATCCTAAAATGTCGATAAAGCGTAGTTCATGTATTAAACCCAACAACCAATACGTCACTAATACGTCACTAATACGTCATGTAATCTGTTTTTTCAGTGCAGAAGATGCTGTAGTTGAACAGTTCATGGAGAAATGTCCCTGGGGGAACCTAAAAAACCGACTAGCTTTTGAGTCTAAAGTGACGATAAGTAAGATACTTGAAATAGCTGAGGACATGAGGAAGAAAATGCCTGCAAAGGACTTACGGTTTGACAAGCCTGGAAAGAGTGAACTGTATCAAACATTCCCTAACAAGCACTCACTTGAACCCACGGTAATGTTAAGGGAGTTATTCTGTTATTAAAAGTTTGTTAAAATTATATTTCGTAAAATACCCAGAAAACTTGGACTCAATGTTAAAGCAGCTTAGCAAGTTCATGGCCAGTTAACGGTAACGTTTACTGTCCTTACAAGACGTATTTCAGAAAGGAGAAATAAACAAACCATACAAGCTGGAAGATTTGTATGATAGAACGAGTTTGGAAACTGTCCCTGACCCAGCAGTGCCTTGTTTACATTGTGAGACAAAGGGACACGTTCCCAGGTTCTGTATATTGAAGGACAAGAACCCAAATACTTGAATAGAGGACTGGCTAAATTTGAGGACTTTTAGAGCTGATTTTCAAAATTTGCGTATTTTTGTTTTTGTATTTTTTTAAATAATTGAGTTTAATTTTTTTGTACGGACATGATTTTGTAACGACAAAAAGAGTAAGCAACTATAATACATTATGTTCCAAGAATGAATATCATATTTAAAGCTTTGGAGCAAATTTTGGTGAAATCAGTTCCTAATGTCTATCATAGCTTATGTACAAAATACAATAGCAGGCCATTCACAAATCGTCATAAAATATCATAGAAATTTATTTATAAGTACCAAGTTAACCTGATCACTGATCAAAGTCACAATTCAAAATATTTTTCGTTAACGTTGATTATAATAATAACTTATAATAGTCAAATGTACCTAACTTCTACTGCAGAAAAGAACTCTGTATGTTAAATATATTATACTAGAAATTAACTCTGTATTAAACTATGTCAATTTCGGATCATTCAACTAAAACTATGATTAATAAAAAGTAGTAAATTGCGAAATGCTGCTTCATTTGATGCAAATGATATGTAATCATAAGTAATTATGTGTAATTATATGTAATTATAAGTAAACATCCAAAGTTTACACATCACATAACAAATTCTCGAGATCGTCAGAAATAATCTCAACTAAACTGGGACTGCATCTAATGAGTTCCTCTGATAGTGATTCCAGGATATCTAAGCTTTGCTGGCTTTCAGCAGATCTAGTATGCTCAATTGCCGGGCCATCAGTTTCTGTTCCAGAAACCTCATGATCGTCAGATTGTGCCAAACGTTCGAACTCTCTGAATATCTCCTCACTAAGTCTAACAAATGTAGCTCTGGCTTCTGGAGTGCAGAATTCATTCACTTCTGGGGTATGAACAAGATCATTTCGCTGATATAAGATGTTTTTACTGATAATATTTTTGAGCCTTCTATCTAGAGTAGACATTGAGAGTTTTCTGCCGAGCATTGCCTTTTTTGGTCGATCACATGGTGAGAAATACGTGTCGAGACATCTATCAATTCGTTTGGCTACGATCACGACAAGCTCTATGTCACTTAACTTGTCGAATTCATCACTATGATTTTTTATTTCTTCCATGTTAACACTAAACAGCCCCACTACCTAAAATTAAATTGTTAGATTGAGTAAAAATTAGATGATGTTAGGTTTAATTTAAATGCTAAGAAAGTTCAATGAAGTTTTAACTTAACTCAAATTCCATATTCATAACTGACATTCATACCTAATAATGTCTAAAGAAAAAGGTCGTTATATCAAAAATGAACTCAATTTAATGAAAAGTACAGATAAGGTAATAAAAGTACAAATAAAGTATTAATAAAATATAAGCAAATAAAAACTCGTCCCAAAGCTGAAATCCTCAACCTGAACCTTGGTAAACCATTTCTTTTCTAAAGTTAATGGAGAAATTTGAAGTGCTGTACAACTGCCACATCTCGTTAAACTCGTCAAGATAAGCCTCCACAATGTGGGGATGATTTACTTTCACGATGTTCTCTCTGTTTATACCCATTCCACCTCTACTGAAATTATATGACCCGGTAAGCACCCATTTTGAGTCAATGACAACGTACTTGTGATGCATCAGATAGTCTGACTTATCAAATCTGACGACTATTCCATTAGATCTGAGAGCGTGTAACACACCATCCATATCCTGATTGTCAGCAATACATCTGACCTTGACGCCACGCTGGTGGAGCTCTACAAGGATGTCAATCAGCTGCTGAGACGCTATCACAAACATACAGACATCACAACTTGTGGTAGCTGACTTGAGGATACCTTCTAGTCTAGCAAGAGACTGAGGTGTATGCTTGAAGCGACACTTCTTATCAAGACACCCTCTGTGGGTATTGAGTCTGGGACATTGGAGACCTTCGTCTGGGAAAAATAGAACTTCTGACTGTTCACTTTGTTGAGGTTTTAATGTTGGATATGTGAATTTGTATGCAAGATATAAGAGGATTGGATTGGCGACTACAGAAGCCAGAGTCATCCATTTGTATTTGGGATTCATGCTTCCTGTAAGAGTTGAAATAACAAATAAGTCTGTGTTATAAGGGAATCACCCTATCAGGTTCCATACCAGCAATCCAGCAATCAGAAAAAGTAAAGTAAAATAAAGTCACTTCATAGGTCGTTGTGGTGAACCACCTTTCAGATTATATAGTGTATATTGCAATTGTAAAAACCTCTCCAACGTCAGTATCTATCTACTCCTGTAATCTATATTTATGAGTAATACTACAAGCCGGAAGATTGATTTCATTACCTAATATTAGATGTCAGAAGGACACAGAAAATGTGAGCCAGTCACATTAATCTTTGAATTATTTTGTATGTTTCTTGTGTTCGAAAATGTTGTCATGTTTTGTACTTGACCCAAATTTTAAATAATTTATTTATAACTTCCTTTGAACAAATATAATGTTGTAATATTATATATTTAAAGTCACTATTGTGACGGTACATTAGAACTAGACAGAAACAAATAATAATATTATATATATTAACGACAACCAATCTGCAAGCATGGATACAGATTCAGAGGCAGGCTCTCAAACAGCAGAGAAAAAGGAGGAAGGGCCACCTTGGTGGAAGGTTAAACAGACGTTTTTTAAATACTACGATATGATACTTTATAATTAGTGTACTAGAGGTATGAGAATTGATGAGATCATAGTTTTGAAATTTTCTTGTGGTTTACACTAGAAAATGATTTTGAAGCTTCAATAAAAGATGAATTTCAATTTTTTTCAGCTGAAGCATCATCCACTGGCATACATGCTTTTCTTAGCAAACTGGGTTGAATTCTGCATGTGGTGGGGTTGCATGTGTTCTTCATACTGGAAAATTGGGCCTTTTGAAGGTGTGATGGCACAGGATCAGGATGATTGGTGGGAATCAATGGTACTTTTTGGTCCTTGGTTTTACTGTGCAAAGAAGTACACTTATGAACCTTACTCAGTGTGGGAAGATCCCACCAATATACCAGCATATGTGGATAGATTCACAAGTAAAACAACGTGTTGGCCCACATTAGGTATGAATGTTTCCAGGCAATTTTAACCTTGTTCAGGACCCACTCAAGTTTTACTAGATTATTAATTTTCTCCTGTTTAGTAAACTTTTTTGCTTTCAGTGTACAAAAAAGCTGGAGGCTCTCAGAAGAAAAAATTTGAGACTATGGCTGCATTTGGAGGATTTATTCTCATTTGTGCAATATTTACATCATTATTTTGGGTACTTTGGATAGTCTTCGATATGATGTCAGGAATGATAAAAAGTCTCCTTCTACCCATATTCAAAATGATACAATGTTGGTATTTTTCACAATAAAGTTGAACGTTGTTTTACAAAGAAAAAACAGCCCATGAGATTTGATATTTGGGAACACCTGTACCTCAGTTCCAATTGATCAAGTATAAATTATAATTCAGCTATACAAATTGAATTATTACATTTTAATTGGGTACTATATGAAGCATCCCAGCTCCTTATAATAAAGTTGAGCATTTTTTGGAAATTTCTTATCCCTGGCAATACACCAACATTGCAAACTTTTCAGGTTTCTGTACAGTGATTATGCTGATAGTATTTGAGATTGTAACAGACCCTAAAGCACAAAAGCTGTGGGGCTACTATGCTGGGGTTGGATTACTGGGTTATACAGTGGGTACCATTCAATCAATACTCACTGAACAAATATTTAAATCATGAAAAGTATCAAGTTAAGTTTTTACTTCTCAATGATCATGTTCACCCTCTTAATAACTCAGGTTATTGTCATTGCACTACATTGGATGCTCGCATGTTGTTCTGAAAAAATAGAGTGGATGCTGTGTACATGCTGTCCTTGCTGCATTTGCTGCCCAAAACCAGAAGATGTTAAATGATAGTGCAAATTGAAAAGGCATATCGTAATGATATTAAGACATTAAATGTATCTTAAGAGACATTCATGCTTCACATAATTCTGGGGATAGGAATTCTTGTTACTTACTTATTAACTTACTCGTTAACTTTGTTCTATGAACCAATACCTACACCATCTCTACAATTTTCAAAGAGTTTGTAAGAAAAATTTGCATTTAAATAATTTTCTAGATTCATAATTAGATTTTTGAGATACATATTATGTTTTAGCTTGACAGGGGTGACACGATTATTGGGAACAGCTCAAGAAAAATCTGCTTTTACCATGGCTATTAAAATAGTTGAATTGCCTAAGCAGTTCCTGTTTATTTGTTACCTTTGAAATACGTTTTGCTTTACCAATGCCTATGAATGACAACTATTATCATTTAGTACAATGAGATCAAAACATAAAGTAGAAGCTTAAGTGTGTCAACAGGTGCAGCAAATGTTTCAAAAATGCCTGCAACGCGAACGTGAAAAATTTTTTTAACTAAGTGTATCAAGTGCGTACTTCTCGTAAAGGAAAAACTTAGATGAAAACGATACAAATATGTCTCTTTACAAGAAGTAGTAACGAGTAGAAGCAAACATGCACAACTTCAACCTGGCTAATGAGCTTGCCTTAAGTTTTGGTCCTGAGAACGGTAAGGGTTCAGGTATCATTTTTTTAAATCCTGCAGCCGGGTATTGAACACACTACAAAAATCTGTAATGAGGTTGTTGTAGAGCCCACACTCCAGCCATGCACTGTAGAAAGCCTTCGCCCTGGTACCATTCTGGATGTTGGGGCAAGGCTTGACATTGCAGCTAGAGGTCTGTGGTCACCAATGGAGATGGCATTTTTTGATATCAGGGTTTTACACCCCGGAGCCAAATCCAATGCTAACCACAACACCCCAGCAAAGATGTACAAGAAGCATGAGAGAGAGAAAGAAAGGAAATATGGAGACCGCTGTGTACAGATCGAAAAAGGAACCTGCAGTGGCCTTGTATTCTCGACCACCGGAGGTATGGGCCCACAGGCTACCATGTTCCTTAAACGAGTGACAACACTTCTGGCAGCCGAAACCAGCCACTTTTCCAATTTATTGATTATCATATTTATTGAAATAAACATATAATATCCATTACTCCAGGAGTGATGACAGGATATAGAACACTATGGTGTCGCAAATCTTAATGAACATAAACTGTTCTCGATTTTCCACTGCGCCTTCAAAAGCACAGTCACATGGAGTTCACGTGGGAGGATCAAGTTCGTAGAACGGTAGTTGAACTAACGATAAAAATGAGGCTAGGTGGCCTAAGGAAAACTAGAATTTTGAAAGAAACACCAAATTTTTATTTACCACAAAACAATCAATACAAGGTTACAAAGGTACAAGGATACAAGGATACAAAAGTGATAATTACTTTATTGGGTATATTATGTTATATTCATTGAATGATTATTGATTTAATTTAGGAATTGTATATAAATATCTTTGACCAAGTTTAATTGTCAATGAGAATGCACCCCAACACTTGGCGCGCGCGGCGGCTTTGATGTTAGCGGCTACAAGTTCAAAGTTAGACCGCTGACGAAAAAGATACCGCGCGCGTTCAGCGTACGGTTTTTCGTTTTTGATTTTACAAATCAACTTTTAATGATTATTAATGAAATTATCGAATATTTATAATTCAATATGTATTGATTCTTCTGTGGAAAATAAAAATTGTATTTTACTTAAAATTATATTTTACTTATGAGACGCGTGCTGAGTTAAATTGTAATTTCTGATAATTGATTGAAAATCGCATAAACGCACTTGTATCACGTTGCGACCCCCACGGTCGTTTCACTATGTCGCCCCTGACGATACGAGGGGAGCCGCGCACTTCGTGCGCGGTGGGTCATACAACATATGACAAAAACGCACCTATTTGCGCGTTTTTAGGGCTGATGGTGTCATCGTTTGTCGTACTCAAAACGTTTCGAGGTTGCAAATGCCGGCCCATCGAGGAAAATATTTTTACTTTGTTTTTTAACCATTATAAAGTATGATTAGTCAAATATAACACTGAGTTCAAACAATTCCCGAAACGAAAAAGAAAACATTTGATTTTTGTTTTGGCGACTGAATCGTGTTAAATACTCAAATTAACTTGTATCACGTCGTGACACCCATTGTCGGTTCACTGTAGAGTTTATACGATACAGGGGAGCCGCGCACTCGTGCGCGGCGGGTCATACAACGTATGACAAACGGCTTTGATGTTAGCGTCTACAAGTTAGGCAGCTGCCGAAAAGACGCCGCGCGCGTTCAGCGTACGGCTTTTTTTTTACAAAGCAACTTTTAATGATTATTTATGGAATTATCGGATATTTATAATTCAATATGTATTGATTCTTTGATTGTATTGATTCTTCTGTGGAAAATAAAAATTGTATTTCACTTAAAATTGTATTTCATTTTTAGAGCGTCCAATTACACCAGGCTATGCTTGTGAACAAAATAGCCTGCTCAGCGAGGCACAGTAGCGCATTTCGCCGATCTAGCGTTGCAAGAAGCATAATTGAGTGCGCGGCGCGAGACAGTAACGCATCGCGCTACAAGGCAAACTTTGTTTTCCTTAATCCCTATACTCGACGCTTTTTAAGCTTTTCTATGTAAAGAGAAGCTTGACGGAAAATACTTTTAAAAATTACTTCGGAGTAACGCGTGTTGCTTTCTTCTCAAAATATTGTGGCCAGATGTCAGTGCTAAGAAGTAGCGCGCGCCGATTCGGTTCATTATAAATTGACAAAGAGAAGCGAGCAAGAAATTAAAAATTTATTTTAATGCATGTTAGGAAGAAGCTTCATGAAACGAGCGCCATACATAAAGACTGGCATGCCAGGGAACACGCCAGGTGAAAGCACTGACACATCGATGGCCGACTATTTAACAAACTTTACCGAGTGAGTGTGTTACTAGAGGTGATTGCAGTTTCATGAGATAATACAAAATTTGCATTGTCCCTTGTCCCAAATTTTGCTTTTGGGGAGCTAACGTTAATTTTATATCTTATCTATGGATACCATGCTTGAATTTAGGTAAACAACATAGCACTTCCTCACCAGTCACGTTGAACGCGATCGCCGAATGATAAAACAATATGGGAACGCGCGCGCACAGCATTGCGCGCTGATACTCTAAATACTGTGCGCGTTTCGTCCGGAACCTGGGGGAGTTCCCGCTCTAATATATCTGACGACAGTGATCACTCATTATGAGAACTAATCCCGACCACTTTCCCGGTCGAACCGTACCCAAATCAAACTAATTTATGAACCACGTGTATAGCCAACGTCCTTGCGGTGCTGAGCCGATGTAAAACTCTTCTGTCTCTTGTTAATATTTTAGTTGTACTGTGCATAAAAGTGTGTAGTGACAAGTGTGTAGTGGTAATGTATATTATTTATTATGACGACGCGATATTTATAATGCAGAATTAAAAGCTGCTTTCGATATTAGTAGAGGCTCTTACGGGCAAAAAGACGTGTTTTCTGCTACGAGTTTAGAGACCTAACCGCTAATTGGACACAATAGTATGATGTCTAAGGATCGATAATATGTTAAGAAGTATACATGTGGCCTTATTAGTCACGTGCTATACCAATGCGCGTTTTAAACTTTGACAGTCTATTACACTAAGGCAAATAGAGTAATTATATTCATATTTTGTCAGCAATAAGATCACATTATTTCCTATTTAGTGTGAAAATATGAGCTAGAACGGACATAATCTCGCTGAGTTATAGCTGTTTGAAATTTATGATGAACGCGCGGCTGCTAATTGATAACAACTAAATGCTTTTGCGCGTAGTGCGCGTCGAAAATTTGGCAAAAACGCTTGCGGAGTGACAATATTCAAACTTCGATAAAGTATATGAAGTGGGTACTTCTCGGAAAGGAAAAATTTAGGCAAACACGATGTGACTATTTTTGGGTTGATTTAATACAACTGCAAAAAATTATTCAAACTTCAAGCAAAAAAAGTCAAATTTTTACCACTTTTTTGGATTTTTACCCCCAAAAAAATAGAGGGATTTTTCAAATTTTTATATCATCTTGTGCGGCTGTGTTTTAGCTATTTCCATGCAAGTTTTGCCGACATGCCAACAAAATTAACTTGTTCAAAATATCCAAAAACATGGTTTTTTGGCCTATTTTTTGCCCAAAAATCGGTTTTTTGCAATTTTACCCCCAAAAAGTCAGTCCAATCATCTTAAAATCACTTTTAATCGATTCTACGGTCAAAAATACGTTTAGTAAGGTGTATCTGGGGTCCCTAGCGTATCGAGCAGACAATGCCCGTAAGAGCCTCTACTATATGACTGGTGGTGGGCTCTCTCCGGCGGGACATAGATCTATATAGGGGGTACCCGGGGTACGAGTTAACGAACAGTGTTCGTGTCCTTCCACAACCCCCTGTTACCTGTGTTTCTCTCGGGGTAGCCTAATTCATCCGTTAGAATCGCAGAGTTAGCGGAGCTCATGATATCTCGCGACGTATGCTGCATGAACGGTGCAAGACTTGCGCCGTTTGTTTCAGCATCCAGTTGCGAGTGCTTGCCCATCGAAAACATGATTAGTGATTGTGGATTTTATTGATATTACTGATTATCCATCATATTCAGTATTAATGTTATCCATTATTTATTTATTGACATCCTTCAGTCTCCAAAACGAGGTGTGAAGGTAAATTAACTTTGAGCCTTGTTTTGGCGACTGCTTAATCGATGGGCAAGTAGGTATTTGTTTTTTAGCAGTGTTGAACATTGAAACAATTATAAAATGTTTATTTTTATCTTATATAACGTACAATATGAATGACATATGCTATAGTGACGTAACATATATAGTGCAAAGAATTAGTTACTTGCGAGATCTGATTTAGTGATAATCGACGTTAACATTTTGCAGTTTACAGTTGCGCAATGTTGGCGTCGATTGTTACTGACATTTATCTGAATTTAATACAAGTACATGTCACATATAAATTGGGTAGCTGAATGAAACTCGTGCCTCAAAATTTTCCGTTATTAGCATTGCAGTGTCCACGCCCTGTACTGCGTTAACGACCGAAATTTTCCCAATATGCAATTATTATTTTGCTTCTAAAATTCTCTGATAATTAATAATATATCGTGACATGTAATTGTAAGATAACAAACCTCGCGCGCGCGGCGCTTACATCTGCACCTGAGAATCTCTCAGCAATGTGTGGCTGTCTGCGCGGCGGGCTGTGTATTGTGTATATAGCTGAATTTAGATTTAGATTTATTTGTAAATGTATAATAATATTAAATATGTATTGATTGTTTTGTGGTAAATAAAAATTTTGTTTTACTATAAAACGAAATTTTGCTAAAAATTTAAGATTGATATTCATTTTAATTTCGGGGATAAACATAAACCAATAGGGTTTCCTAGGATAAATCTACAATTGAAACCTGCGACTAACTTCCTTACACAGTCACATCACGTGATCGAGACAGTTTTTCGCTTGGGGAGCATTTGAGGGGGTGTCCTAAATGTTGAAAAGGCTTCCTTCACGCCACTGGTGTTCAGTACTACAGGAGGAATGGCAACCGAGGCTTCACAGTTCCTAAAACATCTCGCTGAAAAGATCAGCCTAAAGAAAGGCCAACGGTATTGTGATGTGATGTCATTTGTCAGACGCAGACTGCTTTTTGATCTACTCAGAACCTGTATAATCTCTATCAGGGGGTACAGAGGTACCAGAACCCTTCCACCCACGGCAATAAGTGATTTGGACCTTAACCTGATCAACACTCTTAAACCCTAAAAGGTCATGGAGTGCTTGTTGGATGGTGGTCTAAACTGCTTTTTGTTGTGATGTGATTTAGTGGATTTTACATTTATTATTACAAAGAGTTTTATTTTACCTCAGTTTTTAAATTTGTACCATTTTTACAGAATTTTTATAATTATAATTATTTTTATATAGGGTCATTGCTATATTATGTGTATATTGTTTGAATAATTCTTTATTTTGAGGGGGTGATTCGGAATCAGCGTCCGAAAATACATCGATACAATTTGGTATCAACTGATCGACTGTAGAGTGATTTAGCATGCTCGCAGAAATACATCGATACAATATTAATTACTAGATTAGATTGGATTAGCATTAGATGACGACTTCAACATCATCACTAGTTTTTAACATTCCTCCTAGTTTCTTTATTATCAGAACTGTGAACATTTCAGACCCTTTGTAACGAAGAAAACTTTGTTAAGAAAACTAAATTCAACATACTACCAAATTCTGTATAAGTATTATTCTTTTAATACTTTCAACACTACTATATAACAAATAATTTGAGGTATGATAATGGAAAGTCCGCTACGATGATAACAAACAGCGGTGAAGACAAGACAGCAGAAACAGAGAGTGTACAGCAACCAGACACCTGTGATCCGGAGACATCTCAACACCTGTCTTCTGAAGGTATTGCTTATGTTACACCTGTTGTTTCTCTGTTATGTGGAATCTGTCCCAAAGATCTTATATCAGAACCTTGTAGCATTCAATGTGATTCCTGTAAGACATTTTTCCATCCTAAATGTCTTGGCAAGTCTGCACCAGTGGACAGTGAACGGTGGGTTTGTCAGAAATGTAGGGATAATGTAGAGAACCAGCAGATCATTGATGCTCCTGACGAGGAAAATGATATCTGTTATAACTGTCCCGTGTGTAGGAGTGTTGTGGGGGATTCGGATAAGGCATTGGGTTGTGATGGCTGTGAAGAATGGTTCCATGCACCTTGTTTGTTTATCAGTGAAACCGAGTACGCTGAGATGGATAATGAAGAGATATGGTTTTGTGATACTTGTCAAGCAGTGAAAGCAAACAAAATTAATTGGGGCTCAATGGTTGGTGAAGAGTTGATAGCTGAGAAAGTCCAAGCTGTTTATCAAGAGATGGTGACATGGAGAAAGAATCTTTTCCTAGTTCCCAGAGGTAAATCAGGTAGCGACTTTATAAAAGAACTGACTCGGCTCATCCTCTTATTTGCAGATGCTACCAAGTGGGAAAGGCTATCGTTCGCACTGGTTCATATCTTTTTGCCAATCATGTTGCAAAAACCGTCAAGCAAGTCAAAAGCAAGAGACCATGTAACATATCTCACCAAGCGTTTGGTTAAATGGAAAAATGGAGAACTTGACGATCTAATGATGGAGTGCAGGAGTATTCAGAAAGCCTTGGTGCAGCAACAAAAAATCAGCGAGGAATCCAGGAAGAAGAGTTTCTGCCGACTAATGCTCCTTGGGAAAGTTAAACAAGCCACCAAATATGTTGACAGTTCCAATGACACCTTAGGAGTTCACAGCCTAACAGCAAACATTAAACAGGTCCTTGGGGAGAAACACCCTCCAGCTGTTAAAGCAGATCCAGTTGTTCTGCACCCTCACAGTACTCCTCCACCTCAGGAAGTGATATTTGAGAGGATTGACGCAGAGACTGTCAAGAGGGCTTGTTTATATTTGGATGGATCAGGCGGCCCAACACTAACGGACTCAGATTTGTGGAAGCATATCATCTGCAGCAAATCATTTGGCAAAGCATCAGTGACACTTGCTGAGTCTATAGCAATTGTTGCAAGGCGCCTTTGTAGAGAAGATATCCATCATAGCTGTCTGAAAGAGTTCACTGCATGCAGATTAATCCCTCTTGATAAAGGCCAGGATAAGAACGGGAAACCTGGTGTAAGACCAATTGGAATCGGCGAGATATTGCGCAGAATCATTGGAAAAGCAGTTATAATGTCTTTCAAAACTGATATACAATATGCTGCTGGCCCACTGCAGACCTGTGCAGGGCTCAAATCAGGAATAGAGGCTTCCATTCATGCAATGAGACAGATCTGGGAAGACAGTGACACTGAAGCAATACTACAGGTTGACGCTGATAATGCGTTCAATCGTCTTAATAGAGAAGCAGCCCTTCACAATGTTCATGAGATCTGTCCTCCGCTCTATCAGTATCTAAAGAACCACTACCAAAAGCCAGCAGACCTGATCATTAATACTACCGAGGACCACTACCAACTTAAGTCTGAGGAAGGTTCAACTCAGGGAGATGTAGCAGCAATGGCATTCTATGCGTTAGGGATCAAGCCTCTAGTAGATGACCTTGCCACAGCCTCCAAGCCCAGTGTTTGCAAACAGTCTTGGTATGCAGATGACAGTAGTGCTGGTGGAAAGATTGAAGGTATTAAGATATGGTGGGATACGCTGTTGGAGCAAGGACCAAAGTATGGATATTACCCAAAAGCCAGTAAGACCGTCCTGATTGTGAAGAATAGCGAGGACCTAGATCTTGCGCAGAAAGTATTCTCAGGCACTGGTATTAAAATCGAGTCTGAAGGAGAACGCCATTTGGGTGCAGCAATTGGCAGCGAAGCTTTTAAGAACAAATATGTCTCAGATAAAGTCCATAAATGGTGTCAGGACATCAAGCTGTTGTCATCAATTGCTATTGAGGAGCCCCAAGCTGCTTTGACTGCATATACTAAGGGAATTTGTCACCGGTGGACGTTCATTCAGAGGACCATCCCGGGTATAAGTCACTTGTTTCAACCATTGGAGGATTGCATCAGAACAGATTTTATTCCAGCAATCTTGGGTAAGAACGTATCAGACTTGGACCGCTCCATATTTGCATTGCCAGTCAGACATGGTGGCCTAGGTATCTCCAACCCAGTTGAAAACTGCAATAGAGAATTCACAGCCTCAGTCACCATCACAAAAGACCTCACAGACCTGATTATCAACCAGCAAAACACCCTTGAACATTACAACATGTCAATTCAAAATGACACTATAAAAAGTCTCAAGGCAATCAAGGAGAAACACTTATTTACGGTTAGCAAATCAATAGAGGACAGTGTAAGAGATCCCAACCTAAAGAGATCCCTCCAGTTCATCAAAGAGAAAGGTTCAGGATGTTGGCTTACTGCACTTCCATTGAAGAGATTTGGCTACTCCCTGAACAAGATTGAGTTCCGTGATGCTCTGTACTTGCGTTATGGTTGGGAGATCCCTAACACCCCATTTCACTGTGCTTGTGGAGATAGAAATAATGTGAATCACACACTTATATGCAAGAAAGGTGGCTATGTTTCTATGAGACACAACAACATCCGCGATCTAAATGCAGAGCTGCAGCGTGAAGTATGCAGAGATGTAGTGACTGAGCCAGCATTGATACCCCTTGATAATGAAGAAATTGTTGGTACCAATGCTGATAGAGCTGCACCTGATGTATCCTCACGAGGTCTCTGGAGCACATTTGAACGAACATTCTTTGATGTCTGTGTTACCCACCCCAACTCACCCACATATGACAAAAAAGATATGGAACAGATCTATAAAGCTCATGAAATGAGGAAAATGAAAAAGTACAACAACAGAATCATCCAGGTGGAAAAAGGCACCTTTACTCCACTTATATACTCAACAAATGGCGGATGGGGTCCACAAGCCACAAGATACCACAAGAGACTCGCTGAAAAACTATCCCAGAAGAGAGGAGAAGACTATGCGGCTATTATGTGTTACATGCGCACCAGGATTAGATTCTCAATCCTCAGGAGCACCCTGATAGCGGTCAGGGGTGAGAGAGGGAGACGGCAATCGTATACATTGCCAGTCAGTGTAACTTCGTTTAACTTGATACCTGCCACCATGGACTATGAATGTTTCTAGACACTATCCTTTTGATATTGAGATATTGGTATTTCAGATCACGTGTACATCGTTCCATTTTTTTTACGACACAGTAATTTATTGACACTCACAGCTATAATTTTAATCATTGAATCAGTATTTTTATCTGTGCTCTGCGAATGCATCACATGAATCAGTTTTTTAATCTATTAACTTATTACACATTTGTGCTCTGCTTTAGCATCACTTGACTATTTAAAAAAAATTGTTTGTTCAGGCCATGACCTTATAGTCAGCCAATTGGCCATTGCTATATTATGTGTATATTGTTTGAATATTCTTTTCTTTCGAATTTGAGCACAAAAAAAATTCTGTATAGACAATAAGGGAAAAGAATATTCAAACAATATACACATAATATAGCAATGGCCAATTGGCTGACTATAAGGTCATGGCCTGAACTTTAATAGTCAAGTGATGCTAAAGCAGAGCACAAATATGTAATAAGTTAATAGATAAAAATACTGATTCAATGATTAAAATTATAGCTGTGAGTGTCAATAAATTACTGTGTCATAAAAAAAGGAACGATGTACACGTGATCTGAGATACCAATATCTCAATATCAAAAGGATAGTGTCTAGAAACATTCATAGTCCATGGTGGCAGGTATCAAGTTAAACGAAGTTACACTGACTGGCAATGTATACGATTGCCGTCTCCCTCTCTCACCCCTGACCGCTATCAGGGTGCTCCTGATTATTGTATAGACAATAATGTTAGGAGCCATCTCAGTGTAAACCATTTGAACACTGACCGTTTGGGCGAAAGTAAAATTCCATCCGAATTTCCCAGACTCTATCCAATAGTACTCGTCATTTCTAGAAAATGTAACCCGGTCAAATTTAGTTAGTCACTAAATGTGGCTAAACTATCTCTAGTTACAATTGGTTTTAATTTCTTCACATCATAACCCACTGCTGTTTGATGCTGAATATGTTTGTATCGCCATTTAGAACTGCTTTGACACGGTTAGTGTTTGACACCTGTGTCAGTTGCTATCCACGTGGGTGGTATTCAAGCACATTATTATTATTAAATCTAAAATAGCTAATTATTTAATTAATTATTAACAGGCCCCTTAACGTGGGCTTTATAAAATATATATACAAATTCAAGTCTACCTTAGGGCCAACAAATTTGGGTCACAATAAATTTGGTTACTATAATTTTGGTTACAATCATTTTAGGCACAAATTTCGCAAATTTTTAGTCTACAACAATTTTACTTACTTTAGGTAATCAAATCAAATCAAAATATAATGACACAAACATCATCAATGAATAACGTTACTGTAACTGGGTTATGGTTCCGATTTATTTGGTCGTTCTGGTAGGAGTAAAACAAAGTATTTTTAGTAAAACAAAGTATTTTATTTATTAGCAGTGCAATCAATTCATATGATATAATTATAAGAATATAATAGTATGTCACACCTATTTAACTGTTAGGTTTGAGTAGTCGTGCCATGGCTAAATCTAACTAGGACCAGTGGTGTCGATTAACATTTAATAGGTGAGTCTAAGTGACACAATTGGAAAATTTTAAGAAAAGACGGATCAAAACACAGATCCAAGGACAAGGAGACCCCAC